AACGCAACATTTTGCAGTCGCGACTTTGCTATGGTTTGCATGAGCAGCCCGCCCAGTAAACTGTGCCTTTAAACTATCCGGGAGCTGGGCTGGGGTGACTCAGTGGATATTTTACTGTGTTTTTGTTACTGTTTTGTTCGTGCTTTTCTTAAGTTTTTGCGTATTGGCACAGCTTATGCGTATTAAATAAGATAAAAAATGAAACAAACTTTCAGATCGCATCAATCACGTTGTGAATGAACCACATTCTGTTCTTATTCACAATCCTTCGCAAAGTGCACGAGCCTGCAACTTTGGAACGCCTTCATAAGGCTTATGTGTTGGCACACCTTTAGTACGGCCTTATAATTCATAGTCAATTTTTGAAGCACATAGTAAAATATGAAGTAGAGCAAACTTTTACACGCATTCTTTTCTTGCGGTGTGGGCAGCGCCCGGCAGGAGGTGGCATTTCAGAATTCTGAAAACGATATCCCTTTTGAACCCAAAATTTCTTACGACTTCCCCTTTGACCCTATTTTTGACCCCCGTAAGTCCCTGACAAACAGATATACACAAGTAATAAGATGGGCGGCCTCAGCGCTTATTATAGTAGTACTACCTGGCTTTTCTGGTGCAGCCCGGGTCATCGTTTGAGGGGATGGCCAAAAACCACACTTTGTCCTTCTACCTTCCCGTCCTTTTGGGCCATATTCTCCACCCCTTTTCTGCAGTATCAATACTGCACTGTAGCCCTCCCCCTTACCCTCCTGCACGAGCTTACCCCAGAAAGGCTTATTGGAGTAACTGCACCTTCTAATTTTAAAGTGGAAATGAATTTCACTGCATTGTTCACACCAAAATATGAAAGCAGTTTGTTAGCGGCTGGTAAGTGTTCACTTTCCTTGCAAGGTGCCAAAAATCATTGAATCGATAGAAGAATTCCACGAATTGCTTCGAAGGGTAGCTTAAAACCATCTACCGAGGCCGAAAAAATATGTTTTCAACGTTTCAGCTCAATGGGTTCATCTGCAAAGGAATTTATAGAAAAACATAGGGTCAAGATTTGCACAAACCTTGACGTTTATATATCTAAGATACTACTCATTTATTAGTCAGCTGCGAAACTTTACAATTTACAATAACCGATTGCGATTGGAGCGCGCTTTCCGAGGCCGATCATAACGCTGTGAACCCTATTTGGGGCTGTATCGAAGCGGTGCCGTGGTGGTTTTGGAAGCGGATTTGAACATATGATACTCTCGACCTAGTCCACATTTATGTAAAGAAATCCGGGAAATTATGTGAAGGGAAGCAGGGAGCCACTCCAGGTTGCTTCCAGGTGGCGCGGGAGCCACCTAATTTCGAAAAACACTACCATTTTTTGAATTCACGTAAGTTTCTCATAATTCTTCATACTTTTTTGTGCTCATGGTCCTCCAACTATACAGCAAATTTGGTGCCATATCGTTACTTGTGCGTTGAAAACGAGCCTATTTTGTTATTTTCCTCTTACAAGAATTGCGATTTGAATTCCCGCTTGCGGGCAGGCTAGCGATCGGAGCACAGAATCTTCACATTTTGGATAAGTTCGTAGGACAGTCGCATCAACAAGGAATGATGAACAACGAATGATATGTGCATTGTTTATAGGTAAACAAAGGGGAAGTCGTATTTTGGGGTCCGGGGCTCGCCCCGAACCCCAAAATACGACTTCCCCTTGCTTTTTCGGGCCAAAAACGATATCCAACTTGAAAGCGCCACCCCCGCCGGGCCCGGGTGTGAGAAAACATTTGAACCTAGTGGGACATGTAGCGGTGCAAAAATCGCCTTCAATCCTTAGCAAAGTCTAGAATTTTCTTTCCGTCTTGTGCGTAATGATTTGGGTTTGATGTGAGCAAACACAATCTTTAGACCAGTTTGTAGGATGGATGGGTTTATTATTCATAATCCTTGCATTGGAAGAAGTGTTTCTTCCTGTTATTCAACGATCATTTGTATGGAACTTAAATGGTCAACAAACAGCCTCTTATTTCATCAGCTTGGAGCGTAGTCTCCTTCAGCACAATATAGATGCAGGGATTCGTCGCAGGTCAAAGAATCAAAAAGATACTTTTTTCCTCATTTAGTTTTTTTTTTCAAAATGCCAACTTTTTTCCTTTCGCTTCCACTGGTCGCTCAGGGTAATAACGCTGATGTCTGTGCTTACTAACATGTCGCTCAATGTTTTGATGCTTGTTACTATGTTTTGCAAGCCTTTTTCTCAGTTGACCGCTTTTGCAACACTTCTCAAAGTAATTTCCTATTCCGTGCAAAATTAGATCATTCTTGACATCTGCTTTTGCTTGATCCCATTACAAAGTATACAGGGCCAGACTGTTAGGTTGGTGGTAACTAACTTGGACCAGTCAAGTATTAAACGCTCCCACTTTAAGTTATTCTCAAGCGGCAGCAAACCCCAATGCCAATCATCTGCATTTCCATAGCTTTCAGATGTGTTTCTATTACTCAAGCAGATCATTTGGGTGGAGGACCATATGTCGCCGAATTTGGAAGAGTCCCGCGTGGATTCCCTGCAAGAACGCATGTCCGCACATCTACAAGAGTGCGTATTTGTCTCAAATGACCGCGGGACCGCCCTTTTTCTGCGACATATAGTCCTCTACCCGATCATTTGCGGTCGTAGTGAACTTTGCACGTATTGGAGTGGGGAAGGGATAATGCTTTTCATGACATGGCATTTGTTATCGCATTATAAGGCCACTATGAATGCATGTATAGGGTGCGGAAATGGCTGTCCCTCCAGCTTGGCTTCTGTAGCTCAAACATAAAGCAAATCTGTAGTTTTGATTCCCATACAGGCGAGTTCCTTGAGATTAGGTAAAAGCAAGCTTGCTTTGAAACTCTTTCCTTCTGCCCGTTTGAGTGATAACGCATGACCTCTTCTCCAATATTCTATACCCACTGTAGATAAATAGATTGGCGGTTCTTGTCTTGGCCAAAAAAAGGAAAATTTGATCACACGCAAATCGCAAAAATTCTTGAAAAAAGGCGAGTTAGGACTGCGATTTCTCAATGAATTGGGTCCAAACTATGATTCCAAACTCCAGATTTCGGCAAAAAGGATAGGAATGATGAAAAGAGCATTGGGCTTTGTCTACATCACAATTCTTAGCGATAAACGATTGTACCTAGGCTCTCTGCCACGTTTTCCGATCGCACTCTGTTGCTCCACAGCCACTTTCTCGCTAAAAAATTCACAGTTTTTCTCCTAATGCAACTGCTGATTAGCTACTTTCAGAATATCTCGGGATCCACTACCACGTTCCTTGAGCAGTGAAGGATTTCTCAAGTTCGCGTAACAAACAAAAAAATTTCCCAAAAATCTTCACACTTCTTCACATTTGTGAGGGGGAGTTGCAAGATTTGATATGAGATGTGCTGCAAAAGGGATCCGCCGCCGGGTGAAATTGTAAAATTTTGAAGCCAGCTTTTGCAAAATGCCAGAATTATTTACATCTTGGGAATTATGTCAAATTTACCAGAAAAATCTGTGAATCACGCCGATTTTTTAACTTTATTTCGAGGGACATTACTTTTTTTCCGCACTCTGTACAACATGATTTTGAACAAAAAAAAAACTAAATTTGCAAAAGATGGACAGCATTGCTCGACTAATTGAATTGAATCCTCCCATGTCTTTTTGCACTTGCACAACGGTTCGCAAAAAAATTTTTACGAACTGTGAACACCCATCTCAGCATGCAGCGTCATTCTAGGATACTGCATTCTTCCAGAACATCCAAAAGAAATGCGAATTGCATACAAAGGTATTTACACCGCAAGTAATACATCACCACTTAATTATCAAAAGAGTAATGCTTTTTGATTGCAAGAAAAGTAAAAATACAGTTATCGCGTTGTACTTAGCAAAAACTGAGTTGTACATGCAGTTATCACTGAGTTATTTGTAAGCTGATCTAGTTGGTCAGTTTATTTTGTTTTCTGTTTTGCTATTTCAGCATCTTATTCTATGCTATCTCTTATTATTTGTCACGTGTCGATCTCTTAATTTGATCTCAAATTCCCAGGCTTGATGACTCATATTATCTCGTACCAGTGGCGTACCGAGAGAGGGGGGGGGGGAGGCGCCCCCCCTCCCGAGAATGGGTCGCGAAATTTTTGAAAGTTACTTATATGTGTTATAAAAATGTGCAAGTGACTTGTTTATTTTTGTAAATAATTAAAATAATTTTTGAAAATTTCTAAAAATTCTAATTAGCCTTGTAAAAAAAAATTTTTCGGGAGCGTGGCGTCAGCCACGCCCCCTTTTTCCAGATTTTAAGGGTCGGAGACCCGCAAATGTTCTTAGAAGCACCCCAAAAAATTTTTCGGAATGCGTGGCTAACGCCACGCACCTTCATTCGAAAAAATTTTTTGTCGCCCCCCCCCCGAGCGGAAATCCTGGGTACGCCACTGTCTCGTACCATTCGTTGCTGAAAGCGCGCCTATTTTGCTCAAAGTCAGTATTGTTCTCGTTGCCAATAAACAGTCGGTATATGATAGTGTTCCAGTGAGACGCGGTACTATCCGCGCAAACCTAAGCGATTCAAGCCGCTGAGCATCACAGTAAACGCATATTCCATTATCTTCTACATTAAGTTAATCATCGTTAGGGACTCTAATTAACCTAGTGTAAAGTTCAAGGGTTTGATTAGCTTCTTGAGACACAAAAGCTCTTGATAGCTCAAATTCTTCCTGAACTTAGCGAAGTTTCTACCGTGATCTTACAGTAATGAAAGTTTGGTAATTTTTTCCATAATGAAAAATTCAAAACGAGCTCGAATGGTTTCCAAGGTTGGCTAAAATATCGCTGGGACGAGCGATAAAAACGATCGAGCAATGTTTACATTGAGACATCAAGTGATCTTCAACTCACGCAAAATAGCTGTAAGGAGTTCGAAAACAAGCGTTTGTAATATAAAGAGCGCTCAGAGAATTAGTTTGACTAATGAGCCTACCAGACTGAACATATCCTTGGCTTTGGGCAGGAGTGGGCCAGTCCCTACTTCGCTGGGCACCATCCCTCTGGCTAGCTGCGAACGTTTGTCATTTATCAGCGTGAGTATTTGACGAGTTTCATTCCATAAAAATCCGCCATCTGCGCAAGCAGGACCTAAAAACGCGATCAACAATCTTAATATGTAACTGTACTTCACTGGCACATGATGACCACACCTTGGCATGTTGTGACAGACAAACGAATCTGCAAAGAGGTTAGACATCAATCACGATGACTTAATTGAAACATTAACAGAAAATTTACCACAGCTGCGATGAGAAGGATTCGCTTCATGATGTGATACAATGAACAGCGCCGCCCCCTTTTATGCGGCTCAACAAGCACAAAGCACGGGGGCGGAACTGTATTTTGGTATCACGACATAAACGCATCGGAAATATTAAGTTGTCCCGAAAGTTTTGTCCGTTTTTTTAATCGCTCACCAAAACTCAAGAACTACAATCCTTGTACTACTTAGGTACCGTTTAATTTAGATTTCTATCCTTTTTCTACAGTTGTATTTGCTCTTCAATGTACCCTGTCTTTGCAATGTATCGCCATGGATTTTGAACAGCTCCACAGCAACGCCAAACCTTTCCTGGATTTGAAAAATTTTTATCCTAGTGTTTTCAAGGAGCGCTGGTGAGTTTATGTAGAGCAAACGTTTAGCTACATTGTTCCCATTTTAGACTATACGAGCCACGTTTACCAAGTCCGTTATAATTATTTATTTAATATTAGGGTGTCTCATAATTCTTACCGTTTTTGCCCTATACTTCAGGATTTCTCGAGGACTGGGGCACCTACAAAGGATACAAATACATGGTCGTACTTCTGTATGTATGAGCTATATGATCACACGCGTGGGAGGAGCTCAGGACGTATAGGGACGGAGTTTCTCATTCTACCTCATTCATTTTTTTCTTAATTTTTAGCCATGGGAAAAATTCGGAGACTGTACAGCTGAATGTGCAATGTGTCAAGCATATGCTAGGATAAGTGGGGAACTTTTTGGATTTTTTGGGGCTGAGATACGATTTTTGAAAGAAAAGTTCGTTTTCGGCTACTGTCAAATTTCGACTCAAAATTTGACGTGGGATATGATTTGTGCGGACTTTTGATAGCCATCTTGTAGAGCTTGCTTTGCCCTATCGAATGATTACTCAAGCCACATCAGATGAAGGAAAGATACAAAGAAACGACAGTTGCAATAAAAACGGTGAAAATTATGAGACACCCTAATAGAAACCGCGGCTGTTTGATTTTTACCATGTAAAAAAAACCGCAATTTTCAAAAATTTGCTTTTTCAAAGCAAATCAAATTTGGTTGTGTTGCTAAATGCCTAATAAGAATCATTTTTCAATTCGCAGAAACTTCAGAAGCTTTCGTGTATCTGCTGAAGTTGCGTGTTTCCTGACGTTGCCAAAAATCGAGACCTCTGAAGAAATAATTTTTTGAAGCTAAAAACAGCTGATTAAAAGAACCTAAAAATCAGCTTGTAATCAGAGAATTGCTCTATTTACATACTTAAAGGCAGTGCATCGGCAAAATCCAACAACTCAGGATTTCAACGCCGTAGGTTCCTTATCGCCTAAGTATGAAAACAGTGCAATCCCTGTTGCACAGCATGCTTTTGCCGAGAAAATCGCTTTCATTTACACGCGCAGGCCAGTCCTACACGCGTCTGGACGAGTTGGCAACTTCCTTCTCATTATTGGAGGCTGCCCGCCGCAATGCTTTAACCATTGGGTCCTGCAACGATTCAACGTCATCAGCGTTGCTTCACTCGTCCAATTCCAAAAAGAAGGGCATTGAAAAACGCTCGTTTTCGCCGTTTTCAAGCTCTCAAAAGTGCATTTTCGGAAACAGCGTATTGAATAACCTCAGGTAAGCGAAAATTTCACTAGGTTGAGATTTGTCGAGCCACTGCCTTTAAGCCTTTCTGAAACTTTGGAATTTTTCAAAAATTAGCCGCTTTGCGCAGATAAAATTGGCGGGTGGAGAATTTTGGCAGATATCAAAAAAGCATACGAGATTGTGGCTGTAAAATGTATCCAAAGGAAAGAGAAGGAAAAGCTGCATCGAATGCATGTTGAAACTCATTTAGGTCTTTATTGTGCGTGGTTTTATAGTGGTTTGAAAAAACCGACAAAACTTTCGGGACAACCTAATAATTTCTTTGATTATAGCAGCCCTCTGGAGTTCAATGTAAGAGTTAGTCCCTTCATTTCCACGGAAAGTGTTACAGAATCATGCGGATATAAGATGTCACACAAAAGTTCAAAAAGCATGCCGTAAGTGGAAATTCAAACTTTCTCAAAAAGGTAATTAAGCGAGTTATAGTGAGACGGATACACGTATAGGATCAATAATTGAAATATCCAGGTACACCCAAACCAACCCTGTGCATATATACACGAAAAGGATATGATATACATTCGAATCATAACAAACAAAACTCGGATTCTTGATAGCTAAACTAAAAACTCTACTTGAATTGCTCTTTCCAACGGTACCATACATACACACAAAAACGGATTCGTGACAATTCTACAAACCACTAAAAACGACCAAACTCATCTTTTAGCCAACCTAATACCTAGCAAAGAGCTTATGTCAGCTTTTCTTTCCCTTCTTAGCTCCGGTTATCAGGTTCAAAACTTAGCATGAGATGCGTGATAAATATTTAGCCCTCAACAGATGAATTAATCCTGCTTTCACTAGATAATGGCTCTTTGGAAGTATTTTTGAAAGTTGCAGCTTACATAAAAACAATTTTTCTAGTCTCAGAGAGCTCATATCTTAGTTTCCACCCAGGAACGATATTCAGTCTGCTTGCCAGTTACTTGTGCATAGTTAGGTTTCTATATGAATATTTACGTTTACTTCGCCTTTTAATTCATGAGGTCCCGTTATGAGATGAGATGCGAACTTCTGCGAGCTTCGAACTTAGAACTTTTCTATGGGATGGGTGCAGTGACGTCTCAACAACAAAATAGCGGGTCCATATTCTACGACAGCATTTCTCATAGTGCTACCAGAGCAAACGAAATTGAAAAGAGATAAGAAGATTAAGGTTGTATTTTTGAGATGGGATTTGAATTTTATAATTGTTGACTATCGCACGATAACGTGAAAAGATCTCTGAGTAGCATTCTTATCCTTGCATTAGTTCTGATAGGAGTAATGGCAAAATGGATTTTCAGATTAGAATGTACTTCAAACTATTTAACAAAACCGATATTTTACGTCACTACCTTGAATTTATCAATTTTATGGAACACAAGCGTGTGCAATAGGCAGATACTCCGTAAAAGAGTTTATTGACAGACACTCTATATTTGAAAAGTAGTCTACTTAAATGAAGAAAAATTTAGAATTTTTAACACGTTTCGGACCGCGAAACCGCGAGCGGAGAAAAAGAGGGTACTTTCAGCCGTTGGCCCAGAAAGGGACCTTAATTCGTATACTGCATGCTACATCTGTAATCAGCATGTCAAATAAGATTCATACTCCAAGTTCTGAGTGAATTCGAAGTGTTTGAATTTTGTCACTTGAGAAGGACTTCTGTGCTTTCCTGAAAGATAGGAACAAGAACTCAGTTCCTAACTGTATTTAAAAGTATCTATGTTGTACACGATACACATCTTATTGGAACTACAGTTTTTCTCTTTGAATTCGGAGCAAAGAAAAGTTGCGACGTCGCACGCGTCGTTCGCGTTGCCGCACTTCTTTGCAACTGTTGTTCGAACTGTCCTCATATCTTCTAAACAAATATCGGTGGCACAGCCTTACAGAGTCATGTGAAAAGGAGGAGCTTAGGCCTTTGACTTGATAACCTTGAACAAGAAGAAAACCTCCTGCAAACACTAAAAAGATCCTTGAAAGGCGCGTGCTGCACCATGTGCAGCACCGGTCCGAAACGTGTTAACACTGATTTTATTTCTATGTTAACCGCGACCTGTGCTACTTTCTAACATTACCAGGAAATTCAGTCTTCCACATTTTCTAGGCCATCATGCAAGCAGCATTCTTGATCATTAGTTTTTTGATTTAGGTCCATTGTGCCTCGATTTTCATCGCTAAAGGCAGCGGACCGACTTATCTAAAACATTTTCAGATAACAAAATGTTATGTGCAAATGATGATAATGTCATAAAGACGAAAGATTCGATTCTGTGTAAAAAAAATATCATTTTGACCAGTGGATATATTTATTGACACACATATGAATACATGAGCGACTATGCCGCTTGAAATGATGACATTAGAAAAAATATAACATTAATGGATCTAGATAATGAATAGCAAACGTGCCGAACATGGCTTTGCGATTTGTTATCAGGAAGCAAACTTGTAAAAAACGTTCCAAATCTTTTCGTCAAACACTAACATTCGATGGTGATATGAGGAGTACCATGTTTAATTCTAACATCAAGACTTTAAGGCTAGAGATAGCTCGTCCGAGCTGAATCAGACATCGCAAAATCTCTTTTTTTGCCACGGTCGGTCAAGTTTTGGGACGCGGGCGAGCCGCGAGCGGTCCCCTTTGAACATTTGTACGTTCTATTCACATTTCTGAGCGCATGACATTTTTTAATGATCATTTTTCGATCAGCAAGAAGTCAACTTTTGATCGAATTTCTACGAAGTTCTTGTGGCCGGTGAAAAACATACGAATTATTCCATTTCCAATCTCACATATTATTTGACAAAGCTGACATTCAACATAAATTTTATTTGATATACCAACTGCTTGAGAGTTAATGTATTGCATAAAATTGGGGGAGGAGTGGCTAGGGGTATAAGGTGTAGCTATGACCCGATAAGACACAAGTTCGATACCCATCCCTGGGCCAACCAAGCCCTCTACCGTCCGCGGCCGGTAAATTGGTACCAGATCTGGGAGGATCAGAGCACTGACTTGGTAAACGGCTGGCCTCCTCAAGTCGCTGTAATAGGGCACGCGTACAATTGCCTCTTCGACTATGAAGTAGTGTGCGTCCGGCGTATGCCCGCTGACGGCAACTGAAGGATCCTTTACCCTTTCTATCCTTTGCATGAAATTTTCAAGTTTTCCACAACTTTTGCTTGCTTTAAAGGAGAAATCTATGTAATTTTGGAGCGTCCTTTTTTCTTATGTCAACCTTACTTGATTTGGTTTCTTGTCTAAAATGGGTCATTCCAGACAAAAACCCTCAAGCAAGCATGTTTATCTCACACTTTTTTTAAAAGTAAACGCCAGAAGAGTCATCTCCATAAAAGCATAATCAAAGTCACTAAATGCAGAACAGATCTGCTTTCATCTGCCATCAGAGCTGAAAATTCCAAGTTTGAAGCGGGCGGTCTCTACGCTCATACGTTGACGTACAAAAACTTGTCAAGGTTCAAGAAGATGGAATCAGAAAAATAGCTGAGAAAATTCGAAGTGTGCGCGCAATAGTAGGTCTTTTTATTTGACAAAAAAAGCTAAGTGAAAATGAAAACGAAGTTTTCAGATACTCTCCGTTTCGTCCCTTTCCATAGACAAACTTTTCAATTTCTAGACCCTCTCCGAGACTTCTTATTGAGATGAAAGGATCTAATATGTTTCTGGGATGTTATCCTCGCCCTATCTTCAATTTCGAACGATCCACAAAACGATTGTGCTGCAAAGCCGAGCACTCCTCGAGGTGCTTGTTCACCAGAAATTCAAAGGCAATGTCTCACCAGAATCGGGTTGTCACATTTTCTGCATATTACAAGCCTTTGCAACCCTGCTTAACCCTTCTGGTTTCAGTTCGCCCACACTTCCTAAAAACCCTGCTTCCTTAAGGTCTGCGGATGCTAGAAACTCTTAGACTACTGGCCCTTAAAGAGAGCAAAATAAACGATGGTGGTTTTCTATCAGCAAAACGATACAGCAAGCAGAGAGCAGCAAGACCCTGTGTTGGATGCTCACTCAGAAGAAGAAGAAGTAATCGGGTTGAGTGTCTTCGGCCACGCCTATCCCGGCGTGACCCTAAGGTAGCCGGGTTGGGGGGGGGGGGGGCAGGAGGGTGGTATCATCAGCACCATGGTAGCTCCCGTAGAGGCAAACTGGACGAGATGTGCCTTCCTACTCCAGCCTGCGCCGATTTAGGCAGGTCGTAGAAGGATGTCGCCTAGAAGACGTGTTGAAACACGAAAAGGGAAACTTGCGAGTCGGCCAACGCGAAATTCCCAATTCCAAATCGCCCTTTGCGGGCCATTTCGAGTGCGGTTCTCTCGTGCTGGAAGGGGCCGAATCGAGCTGGACTGGGCAATGGCTTATGAAGGGTTGCTTTGACACAATCTGTGGAGACCCGCACTACTTTGATTCTGCACAAAGACAAAAACAGCTTTCGAAACAAACTCCAAGGCTTCGCTAGCGAAAGATGATAAGGACAAAACAACCATTCAATGTCAGTAGCAGATATAATCCTGATAATATTTCGCATATCGATACTGGTGGAGAATGCAATGCCTAACGCCACATGCACAATTTTACCTTTAGTAGTAGCGCTCACCATTCAAAATTCTTGAAACTCAAAGCCTATACATTCTGGGACAATAAACAAGGTTCATACACAATGATTAATAACTTGCACATTTCTGAGTGTAAAGTATCTAAAGGGGAATTTCAGGAGTTGGCTTTCTTTTTGTAAATAGATAAACTATGTACGTTTGAAGCTGAAAATAAGCGAATTACAACACGTAATAATAACGGCATTCACATGGACATTTTGGGAACAAATAAAGGCATATGAAGACCACCGAATGAGATCAAAGGTTCCAAAACAAGATAAAAACACTGATACAGAATTTGGTAACACAACCACAATTATGAAGGCTTAAAAATTCTGAAGGAAAGTTGATACTGTACATGAAGAATGAAAAAAATTGGTTGATTGGGGTTTAGTAGACTTCACTAGTGTTCCCGTCCTCTGAGCCAGAGTGAACCTACAAAAGTTGGATGAGTTATATATTTGCGTGCATTTGCAGCCCATCCTTCACCAAAAGCATAGTAGAATTTCATTCAAGTGCTAAAAACATAATAGCTCACCTCTTCATTCTGTTCTGCTTCTGTTTCTGAACATGATGAACTGCTACGATCATCTCCCGAAAAAACAATCTCTTCTCCCTAAATTGATTATGTAGAGCTGGTAAACACGACATGCGATTTTCTTACATTTATATCACGCGATTTCAGCAATCCTATTTCAAATGCATCCTGACAGTTGATTCCAACAAGTTTTGCTTGAATTGATCGCATCCATTGCTCGTTAGTCACTCGAAAATCCGGCACGAGTTTCAGAAGAACGTTGGACCGATTCGCCTGCAATTTGTCATTTGACCTTGAAATTTACGCGAGCCCAACAAACCCTCATTCATCCAAACATTCAAAATTATGAATCGCGAGTTTAAAATACAAAATAATCTAGTGCCCCCACAATGGTCGGTCGCCTCATCGTGGCGTGGGGGTGACACTGGGTGTCGAACTGCGATGCACAGCCGAGTGTATACTCTGGTAGGGCCTCCCAAGCTGTGAAGGAGTTCGACGTTTCCGGTTTCGGCCGGATGCCTAGCTAAGAACTGGCCGCGCCAGATTCTCCGCCGTCTGGCTTCTTCTGGTCGCTAGGCGGTCCCTCCCCGCTCCAAGCCCGGGGTCAGCGATCACCCCGTGAAAATCAAGAGTAGGCCTAGTAAGCCACCTCTTGTAGGGGAACAAATTTTATTACTCAGACAGCAAGAAGATTTAGAAAAAACCCTGTACATCGGATCCCGCCTACGGCGCCGGGTGGTAGCAAGAACGATGTCAGGGTACTCAGGGCGCCTTTCGGATTGGACAAAAACGACACGTCTGCCCGGACGACACGCCATGGAGACTGCCTCATGCTCTGCACTTACAACGCCAGGACAGTCTCCACAAACGCCGACCTCCACGCTCTTCTCGACGCTGCAGAGCACATCAACTACCACATCATTGCTCTGCAGGAAACGAAGTCCAGGAAGAAGGACGTGCGACAGATGAGTGATGGGACCCTCATCATTCGTGGTGAAAAGGTTCCATCACGAAACGTGGGAGGCGTCGGCTTTGTCGTCCACCCATCTATCGTCCATCTTGTCGATTCGCACGAGATCCTATCACCTCGACTAGGCATCCTACGACTACGACCTCCACATCAGAAGACCATCAGCATCATCAACTGCTATTCTCCAACATCAGCAGCTGACGAATCAGAACTAGATGCTTTCTACGAAGATGTGGAGGAGGTCGTCCGCAACGAGAAGTCCTTTTATAAGTTTGTTGTGGGCGACTTCAACGCGAAAATCGGGATGCCACTGGAAAAGGAATATAGGATCGCGAAGTTTGGATATGGGCTCCGGAACGAAAACGGCAACCGTCTTGTTGGGCTTCTCTCCGCCGCACGACTTTTCCATGGAAATTCCATCTTTATGAAGAAAGAACATCGCCGGTGGACATGGGAATCGCCCAACGGAACGACCCACGCGGAGATCGACCACATTCTCACCAACCGAAGGTGGAGCTTACTCGATGTCTCTGTAGTTCCATCCTTCTGTAGTGGCTCCGATCACCGCCTCCTTCGAGCGAAGATACGACTCAGCCGAAGGCTGGAAAAGAAAGTCTGTCATAGTGCCGCGAGAAGGAAGGAAGTCGTTTATGACGGTAACAGGCTGGAAGAGCTCATATCAAGTTGTGACTGGCCCATCGAGGAGGACCCAACGTACGACTACGACCGGCTTCTGAAAGGATTGCGAGCCTGCGGAGAATGCGCCTCAGTGACTTCTGAGAAGAACTTGGACCGCATCTCGAAGACCACCAAGGAATTGCTCGAAAGAAGAAGATCATTGAGGCAGGATCCGAATGCAACTCATCTCGAGCGACTGATTGCCAACACCAGTTGCAGAACAGCTTTGCAAGAGGATCTCAGGAAGTACAGGCAAGCCAAGATACTGGAAGCAGCAGAAAGAAGACGAAGTCTCAAGAAGTGCCGAAGGGACCTCTGCGAATATCACGTACCGCTGGCTGCACTACTGAACGAAGACGGGACTCCGACTTCTTCCCGATACAAGATGGAATCTATCGCGAAGAACTTCTACACCAACCTCTTCCGCTCATCAACACCCGTGCAGATGCCCGTTGTTCCCACTGGAGAAATACCACCACGAATTCTACCTGCTGAAGTGCGTATCGCGATACAGACCATGAAGACGTCCACGGCTCCAGGACCAGATCATCTTTCCGTCGAACTTCTGCGAGCCGGAGGACACCGTCTACACGAGATTCTAGCGTCGCATTTGACATCTTACCTTCAGAAGGAGAAGATTCCCGACCAGTGGAGAACGTCAAGAACCGTCCTTCTCTTCAAGAAGGGTGAACGGGAGGATCTTCGGAACTATCGTCCAATATGCTTGCTGAGTGTGCTGTACAAGCTTTTCACGAAGATTATCCTCGCATGCATATCAAGGACACTGGATGAAGCCCAACCCCAAGAACAAGCTGGATTTCGCAAAGGATTCAGTTGCATGGACCACATCCAGACCGTTTCGAGGGTCATAGAAGTCTGCCGGGAGTACCGACTGCCTCTCGTCCTAACCTTTGTCGACTACGAGAAAGCCTTCGACAGCGTCGAAACCAACGCCATCCTGTCTGCGCTAGTCGATCAAGGAGTGGACCCAGCTTACGTGAGGACGTTAGCCGACTGCTACAAGGACTGTACAACGACGATGCAGCTATTCCATCGCCCCCTGACCATACCAATCGGGAAGGGGGTCCGACAAGGCGACACAATCTCGCCGAAGCTGTTCACCGCGGCCTTGCAGTGGGTGATGAAGTCACTGGACTGGGACGAGAGAGGCATACGAGTTGATGGGAGATTCCTATCCAACCTTCGTTTTGCGGACGACATCGTTCTCTTCTCGAGCAGTATCACCGAAGCAGAGACGATGCTGAAGGAACTAAACGAAGTAGGGAAGAAGATCGGACTGCGAATAAATCGGAAGAAGACTCAGTTCATGAAGAACGCCCTTTGCGAAGATGCAGAAATGGAATTGGAAGGCACCCCGATTATGGAGACGTCTTCCTACGTGTATCTCGGACGTTCGATGAACATGGAGAACGACTTGAGGGAAGAACTTAACAGGAGAAGAAGAGCAGCCTGGGCCGCCTTCGGGCCCCTGAAGGAAGCCACCGACCAACTGACGGACCCGGAGCTTCGTGCCCACCTGTTCGACTCAACCGTTCTCCCGGCGCTCTGTTACGCAGCTGAGACTTGGGCCGACACTGTAGCCACGTCGAAAGCTTTACGGACCACCCACAGAGCGCTCGAGCGCAGTCTTCTGAAGATGACCCGACGCAAGCAACATCTAGTCGGACTTCGCAGCACGGATATGAGAAGAATGTCCCGTCTTCGTGACCCAGCGGAATACGTCGCGAAAGCCAAACACCGATGGGCCGGTCACATAATGAGAAGAACAGACGACAGATGGACACTAAGAACATCGGAGTGGATTCCTCGTGAAGCCAAACGTCCCCGAGGAAGACCTCCAACGAGATGGGCAGACGTGTTCGTGGAACGGATGGACCAGCTGAGAAATCAGCTGGATACGATTTTTGCACCTGGAACTCGTGGACGCAGCCACCGACGTCAGCCAAGAAGATCGTGGATGTCAGAAGCGAGGGACAGGGAAAAATGGAAACTTCTGAGCTGGGGCCCGCACGTCACGTGAAGCCGGGCCATCTAAGTAAGTAAGTAAGTAAGTAATAATCTAGTGGGAATGGGTTTACTACACGCCTTATTTTAAAAAAAGCTTTTCGGGTCTTAAGAATGCATACATGTCAAGGTGGAGGCAGAACTAGACGACTAGGTCTAAAAGGGGCATAACACAAGAATAGCAAAAGCCTGCAAAAATTAATTTTTTAACAACTTATAAACTGAATCGAGTTGAATTTACCAGAGCCCGACTAAACCACATTCTCCAAATTTTCAAAGTCACAAGCTTTCAAATTTTTAGAAGCACAAAAACCTCAGTGGATTGGCTTGTACCAATCTTAATCGGAAAATTCTCGGAAATTACTGGTGCATTAATGTTGATTTCCCAGTAGTAGACGCAGGGTAAAGAGTGATGGGTGTGGAAAGGGCCGCAGCATAAGAAAAGCAAGAGGTTGCAAAACTACAAAAACTGAATCAGGCGATAGAAAAAACAACTAAGTGAAGTACCAGATTTTTTGATCGACTTGCATTATGAAGAGTTTTCTACAAGATACACAACTGATTGGCAGATTTGAATCGAAAAACCGTAAAACGGGAAAAAAAGAGGCACCTTAGCATGAACACAAATGTTCTGGAAGTTTCTATTTCCAATTTGCACTGATTTGATTATCTCCACAACCTGATCCGCAATATTCGCGAGCCGTGTTTTTTCCTCCAGTAAATACATGAATGAACTACTGAAATGTAGTAGTATAGAATTATGCCAATCAAAAAAAAAGACTTTGGAAAAGACATTCGTAATAATGAGCCTAGAAAGTCTATGTATTTGCACCCACTTTTTATTACACATCATAGCAAGGAATCTTCGACCCTCCTTTATCGCAGTCACAAGTAGTGATGTGCTGCGCAATTCTCGAACTCGCAGCATTAGTCCAAACAGTGAGACACAACCGGCAGCAATATTCCACGTTCGTAAATACTGGAACATTTTTTTTCGTTTTGCAAGTGCTTCATACTGAATTTTTTGAGAAGCTTGATCTCTTATAGTGGCTTTTTGTGAATATAAATGAGAAGCCAACTTCTTGCATAGCCTGCCTCCTGGATGTTATGGCAGACGGCTGTGTCACCTCGTTAGCGATGGCATCATTCATTCCGACAAAGAGTACTTTGTAAATCGTTCCAAACGTTGCTCTAAATAGAGTATTGCTGAAGTATTTTGAATGAAGTAAAAACAGCAGAAGCATTACTCGCATATATTACTGAGGTCTTTTTTTTTCATAGAAACCTACCTGGTGAAGCATGCAAAGATTTGCTTGGTGTCGCGCTCATTCAAATCAGGATCATCGGACTCTTGCTCGTAAACCTTGCTTTTTCTTCGCTGATCATGTGGAACCTCAAAAACAGAATTTTCGGGCAGATCTTCCACTTCGTTCTCATTTTTGCAGTAAATCTGTCAGTGCTGAGTCTAAAACTGTGAGAATAGCAGTGATGTAACTGAAAGTAAAAATGGGGCCAGAAGAAATGTCAACCAACTAAGCCAATCAACTTATTTAGAGACCGCCAACAGAAGTGAGAACTGGCTTCACTTATCATTCTCAAAAAAGCCCAGCGCCAGTTGCCAGCTGAAAGATTTAGTAAAAATTTTCTCTTCAAAATTCAAACTCCGTAGAACCCCCCACCCCCTTGAACCACCAACAAGCTTCCATAATAGTCAGCGCTTCCCGATCGATTATCGATCAGCTAAACAGCGCTATAAAAGCGCCGCTAAGCTTATCCTGTGACTGTAATCTGCCATATGCAAGCTTTTGAAGGTGCAGTTGTGGCCTTAGGAAAGTCCGAGAGACACACAACGCTACAATGAATACATATCGTGTGCAACCCTTCTTGAACTTTTGTTATTTCTCTATCTCACAAGCTCAATTCCTAACTCATATATAGATCTTATATATAAAGCTGAATGTCTGTCTGTATGTATGTGTGTCTGTATGTATGTCTGTACGTATGTGCGGAATAGAAATTTTTATTTCTGAACCGATCGGGACCAAACTTGGCACACATATACTTCGGGGCAGGGAGCGTGTCATAGGCTACTTTTCGTTTTCGATCGATATCGATTTTATCGATTTTTTGCAAAATTTGAGCTAGGGGGCTGGGATTTTGCACAGGGGGGTAATCGAACATGCTGATCACCCCCACGGGGGTGATCAGCATGTTCGATTACCCCCCTGTGCAAAATCCCAGCCCTCGATTACCCCCCTGTGCAAAATCCCAGCCCCGTAGCTCAAATTTTGCAAAAAATCGGTGAAATCGACATCGATCGATAACGAAAAGTGGACTATGACACGCTCCCTGCCCCGAAGTATATGTGTGCAAAGTTTGGCCCCGGGCGGAGCCGGGTTTGCCATCTAGTCATTTATAAAATCGTGACGACGACGGATATAAATGCTGTCTTTGCGACCACAGGAGCATGAAACACTCATACAAGAAAGCATCATCTCAGCGCTCAGCTTCAGTCCCTTCCAGTGTCTAATTGCTATCATACGGGCGACGCAATTTCCTGATGAAGGTTCATGGCGCCAGCTGCGCACTGCGAAGAATTTTTTGGCATGCTTCCTAAAAGTTTTGCGGGCCCATAACCCCGAATTTCAAAAAAGGGGCGTGGCGTCAGCCAAATCCCTGAAAAAAGTTTTTTATAAGGCTAAAATGGACTTTTAAAATTTTTAAAAATTGTTTCAAATAATTACAAGTATAAACAAGTCACTTGCACATTTTTATAACTCATGTAAAGGCTACTGCATGACGAAAGCGCAGAAGCATCTTTAGTTAAGCGGGCGCGGACGTGTCGAGACGCAGACTAATTAGAGTCCGACAGTCCCCTCGCCGACTGGGCGGTGCCACCAACTTCAGATGAGCTGGCACTCCCCGGGTGCTCGGTGGTCCCCTCCCCAATTATGTTCCCCCACTTTTATATTTATGTTATAATGATAAAAGAATCTAGTCAGAACTGTTATGTTAGTGCAAAGGAAAGAAACTAAGGGTTGAGGGATCAAGTTACGAGAGTAATTAACTCGTATACTTGACAGACGCGGCGCGCGCGTATCTTCACTGTTGTAAATCCTGCGCCTCGCGCGCTCTGCAGCTAATGAAGCCGCATTCGCGCCCAAAGATATTGCGCCTTCGTCGTGCAGCAGCCTATAAGTAACTTTCAACAAATTTCGCGACCCATTCTCGGGGAGGGGGGGGAGGTCTCGGTATGCCACTGAAGCAGAAAAACAATTTGATTGGGAATAAAAACCAAAAAAACGCTGTTGCGGGAAATGCGCACTAGTTGAGCCATCGCCACGACTTTTCGAATACCCTACAGCGAACACGCACTTTGCTACCCTAATGCTGCTTTCGTACTTGCTTGCTTTTAACAACCTATCGGGGATTATATCATTTGAATATAACACAGATGAATTAACTTGTATCCAGAAGTTCAGAGGTCATCGAAGATGATGGCATAGGTATTTATTTTGATAGTCGACGTCATAAGCTCTTACCCGTAAAGCCCGGATTTGATTTTTGGAAATCGATGAAGTCTTGCAAACGTGTTTTCAAGTTACTTTCTTCAAATGTTTGCAAATGTGAGCGTCCAATGCAGACCAAGAGAGGGAAAAGGGTGAGAAATGCTCAAAAACTTTCTTTTACCATAGCGTTTACAACCAAGATTCCAGAAAGCGAGAGATTCTTGGTTCGCCGGGCATACCTTAGCAAATGCGGTCACCGCGCGATTTAATAATTTGCGATTGTGAAAAATTCCTTGCAATCCTCTGAAAAAATCTGTCACTCGAGTAACAAAAGTTAGGAAGACTGAAATGAGACATCTGAGATGTAGCGGACGATGTATTAGATGAAGTGGATTTTGGAGACGGTGGCCATATATTACCCAAACAAAACTCTCAACATCTAACTCACCAACTCAGCTAATTTCTTCGCAAGAATCCACTGTATTGCACAGAGTCGATAGCACACCGGACGAAGATTCAAATAGTGACTGTAAGCAGTGAGTGCATCCAAATGCTGCAACATCTGCAACTTACCTAAGTAGTTTCTTAACAGCTGTTGTCAGTGTTGCACCTTTGATCGGTTTCCCTTCTTTGTCTAGCCATTCTCTCTTCAGAAAAGCCAATGTGTTCTTTGCTTGAAAAACACCTTACATGGCCGGACATACATCACGCAATTTCATCCCCTCGTGATTCTCAAAACAAGACAATTGTGACGAGTCCATTGCATGCTGATAATCTTGCATTTCGGTTGTGATAGTTAGTCGCGATTAGTTGTGCCGGAAAACTACAACCGAAATGCAATACGATCTGCAGCGATGAACTCGTAGCAGTTGCCTTGTTAGGTGAGTCGCGAGGCGATGAAATCGCGTAATGTATGCCCGGCCCTTCATTCTATACTCAAAATCATGAAAACAGAGACTATTGGGCATTAACGCCGCTCATATGCATAACTAACCCATTTTATTGCTAAGTTCTTCTTGTGGACAGCGGATAGTCGACGCACAATCCAATAGAGCAATTGCCACACTGACATTCGGCACCACTTCACAGGCATCAATAAGGTATTCGTACACGCTCTTTTCCGCTTCGCTGCCAGCTGTTTTCTGAGATATTTTTCTCACTACCTGATTTTACATGCTATTCGAGATCGAGCAAAACCTTGCTATCTTCATCGAGAATCGCGCGCTCCAGAACCTCCATGAGTTTCTCTCTTCGACATTTTTTCCGCGAAGTGATTGCATCGCTATCGCTTGGTAAGGGAGTGAGAAAATTCCTACAAACCATAAGGTGCATTTCATTATTTTTGTACCCATAAAAAAGTAAGTCGTGATTACAAAAATGTTCGATTCCCCTTCTTGCAGTATGTGACGATAAGAGAACTTACGTCAACTCATCTGTCACTAAGTAAAATTTCCAATTTGCTATGCGATATTGAAAAAGCAGACCAAGCGTGCTACGGTTTAGTGAGTTTCCTGCTGTTACTGACTAAAATGTCGACAAAATAGCACTAGTTCCATTCTTACAGTAATCTCCACAATGACATTTTCCGATAATTTCGTTGATGAGGCAGTATAACTAGAAACTTTTTAAATGTTTCCTGAAACTTTCAACACACTTCCGAACCATAACAGCGAACAGTAGTGTTCGACGTCAATCTGGCGAAAGTAATACTTGAAAATCCATCCAATACACTCTAGGACACCCTCACAGGAGATACAGTAAGTCAAAGAATTCACAAACCATGAGAACAGATGCTCAAGTGTATTCAGACAAAGTCGCAGAAGATCAGCTAGCTGGTCTGTTACCTGCAGGACCAAAATTAGTGCAGCATCTTATGTCAGAACACAATTATCTTACATCATTTTCTGTCACCATTGCAGATGAGATGAACTGATCTCGGAAGTACGAAACTGTTTTTGCGAAAGTATTCCACAAGAAGGGTAATAACTAAAAATATTCTGTAGAGACGACAAAATCTTATTCATAAGGGCACATACATTATCAACTTCGGTCGAAATTTGTGCAGGATCACCATGTATATTTACAGATGCCACATCTCCCTGCAAATGGGTATCTTGATTCATACTGCTCAGTAGTTGATCACCCACTTTCGCCCACGGCACAGTCTTCTTTCCTACTCGTGGGCACACTTGCTTCAAGATCTCCAGTAGATGTTCTGTCAAAAGAATAGATGCGCGCCTTTTCCCTTGCGTCAGCTGAAACCAACCTATACTTATGATTCATAGATGTTTTAGTAAAGATATTCATAGGACCAGCGGCGGTCTCAGGGTTTCCGTTCGAGGAAGAGGACGGCGGTAGAAATTTTTTCGGATGAAGGTGCGTGGGGCGAGCCACGCACTCCGAATTAGGATGCTTTCCAAAATATTGCGCACCCATAACCCCGAAATCGAAAAAAGGGAGCGTCAGCAACGCCTTTGAAAAAAAAATCTCAAAACTACTTTGAATTTGCAAAAAGAAAATCATTTTTACTTACAAATATAAACAAGTTGCTTATACATTTTTCGACCCATGTTAGTGAAGTTCACAAATTTCGCGGCCCACGAAATTTCCAATGCTGTTTTGTTTGTAAGCTTTCGCTGGAGGAGTACATTCACACATTTTATGATAGAAAATGAAAACACAACGCACAATCACATACCACGTACGTGGGCGAACAGCCCCCCCCCCCCCTCCCCCCCTTCCTTCCCCGGAAGTATATTGAAAACCCCTGCAAGTCATCTACATAAGTCATAGGCTTATGCACATCTTTTGCAAGTAATCAAAATAATTATTATAATTTGAAAAAAACCGAAATACATTCAAAAAATTTCAAGAGTGGCCATCGTCAAACCTTAAAAACAAGGTAACACGCAAATTATGGGTATCATTTTCGAAAAAACTATAGAGTTTGTGCCTCCCCCCCCCCCCTCCCCGCTCCCCCACCCTCATACGCTAGTCAGAAAAAAATTCCGGAAGTCAGTGCATATTAATATACTGTCCTTCATTCTACATTCATATAGGAAGCTTACCCGTATAAGTTTCGCGACTGCAGACAACTTCATCATTTTCATACATGACGCCAACTTCGTTAATGGCACATTCTTACCACTAACTCTGAAAAAATGCACTACCAGTGCTGAAAAGATAGTTGAAGTTAAAGCTAAAATAAAACTACATATTAAAAATCAACTGACTGAACTGATTCACCATATGTACGGTAAAATTTACCTTTTCTTTGTATCTAAATTCAGAGCCTGTGTAGCTAGAAGTTCCTAAAATGATTTCGCTACAAACAGTAAAGGTTTTATTTTTTCTAAGAACCTCCTCCACTTCCGGTTCCTCAGTTGGGGCTCCTCGTTTTCTCTTCGGAGCTTTCTTTGAAGGCTTCTTTTTTGTTTCCGACGCTACTATGATGATCGGTGATAACGGTGTCTGATCCGGCAAAGACCATTGACCAAGGGCTGCAAAATTCAGCACTGAATCGATTTGGGCTAGTGTATGCAATAAAAGTAGCCAACATTTTGCTTTGACAACGAGTTCCTTTTGACATTCAAACATCAGCAAAAATTTCTTCTTCCACAACTCATCCAACACAGCTGAGTCAACTCCAGGACAAGCATGCTCTTCAGAAAATACGTTGAAAAGCTGAAAAAAAGAGAGACCTCTGAGATCATAGAAAACGAAAATACGTGAAAAACCGAATTTTTGTATAAAAGATTTCTCTCAAAAAAAGTTGCACGGGCATTAAGCATCAAATATGTGGTGCCTCCTTCCAAGAAATTGAATACATACTGTGCGTATCCACTGTATGATACGAAACTGGGCGTCGCATGCTTCTTTTGTTACTTCATCGACTCCTTGTACGCATATGTTTGCACCTGAGACATTCATCAAAAAAGAAATATGCTTTTTTCTCACAGAAAGAGGGACAGGATGTGATCTAAGCCCACCAAAAAAAACATACTAAGAGCGTAGAAAATCCTGGACCATCTATCTCGTTGGGTGGCTTCTATAGTATCCGCTTCGGGCCATGTCTCTTGCAGCTTAATAGCTTCCTAAATGATTTCGGGAAAAGGGCTAATAAAAAGTGAAAACCTAAAAATAAAAGTGTACTATTGTGTACCATTACAGCCTCTAGAAGTGGTATGGCTTCGCCAAGATTCTGTCCATCCGAACACTTCAGCCACAAGTTTGAATCTTGGTTGAGATATCTTTCGCCTTCCAATTCACTAAAAACTTGTAATGATGAGAGACTCTATGGCAGTTCTTGTGAGTGCACTCAGCCTAGAAGGGAGACTCATTATTTGTCAGTTACGATATCTTCTTTCGAATAAAATGCGTCTTACAAGGGAAGGATACTTGGTCGAAGTGGCGTTTCCATATGATTTGCATAATGTTTTGTAGAGCATGGAAAACTGACTCTAATTTGCTCTGGGTATCTGCAAAGGCTTCCGGGAAGAGAGTTATGAGAATTTTTTGAGGCAAAAATCTGAAATTCTGGAGCACTTCAATGGAGCAGCGACTAGCATAAGTTTACTAGACTTAAGCTATTAAGTGCATGAAGCGCTGTGGGAGTAAATATGGCCCCATTTCTCAAGGACTACAGTTCTAAATGATTTTACTGTAACTGCGCGTTAGAATTTTTGCTTCAAAAAATTCCCATAACTTCCCTCCCAGAAATGCTTTGCAGATAATGAAAGCAGGTGGAATCAGCGTTCCATGCTCTGTAAGATAGTCTACATTTCCTGCAGAATTGCCACTTCGACCTACTATCGTCCCCTTATTAGAATCGCCTTCAAGTTTGCAAGCAAAGTCCAAGCCTGAGCAGCTTAATTGCGCAAAAAAGCGATTACTCCAGAACATATGATACATGATTCAACAATGTAAATTCAATATTTTACTCAGTTTGACTTCACTCTTGAGTTAAAAAAAAAACAAGTAAAAACCGAAGAATTTGTTTTAGCTGATTCACGTCTAAAAAAGATGGCAACTAACCCCAATGACTCATAGCGATCAGTAAAAAAGTCTGAGCGAAATTCCTCTATGAACACCGTCAACCATTCATGCTGAAAAGTGCATATCATCACTCTATCGCAACTAGTTGCATTCACCTACCATAGCTATGCATTTCGAACATCCAAAACAAGTTCGCAACACCTCAGCTAGTTCGGCATAGCAAAAAGTACGCACAAACTGATTCGAATTACGCGCTTCGTCTAAGAGTTCTAATGTACTTCGCACATCTTCCTCTCTTGTTGAGGAGCTGAATAAAGTCTGGAGGTTTTCAGTGTGGCAAAGCACTTCAAATGAATCAAGTCTTGGCTTACTCACTCCTCCAGTTTTAGAGCAGTTTCCATCCTCAACAGTACAGCCAGTATACCAAAAATTGGTTGAACATTGTCAGCTGAGCGAAGTAACAGTGGAATCATTGTGATTAGATTATCCTGAATAAGACGATAGACAAATGACGCCATGCTGACATGCCGTTCTGACCTTATGCGACATAGTCGATGGTCTAGCAGCATATAGGCGAAAAACTGCGCGAAAAAGTCTTTTGACATTGTCAACTGACATGCGTTCGAGAACGAAGAAATATTCCTGAACTTAGGTCAAACTGATGATGATCATGACATATGTTGCGCTTTCGTAAGCACATATTTCAAAGCAGATCTTTCTAGGTGTAGATGAAAAAAAGATACATAGGCACATAGGCACTTGTGCAGCACCATCAGTAGATGACAGAAGGACTGGCACTTACCGATATGAGCCCAATGAACGGTTCCACTGCTTCGGGACTTTCATCAATAAGGGTGGTAAGCTCAATGAGCACAGCTTCTGATTCCATGTCCGATTGTACTGCATGTGTCAACATTGCCCTCATGGTCATCTGCCTCGAGATTCGCGTTATTTCAAGTATAAGACAAATTCTTTAATTTCGAGATCAGACACACCTCTCTTCGTTTCGGTATAGCTACAAAAAGTTCTTTGAACAATTTTGCACCGAATTTACGTGCATCTGGTTTTGGAGACCAGAGACACTGCTGTGCAACAGAGATGATGGAATTCATATTGCGCTCGCAGTACTGCAACAAACAATAATTTTTACACTTTGATCGACTTTGAATCACTTGAAAACACTCACAATTTTGAATTTGAGGGCTTCGCTAAAAAGCTGGTATAGAATATCCACGTTTTCTTGTGTCTGGGCGAAACGCTGTTTGATGGCGTTTGACACATTAAGCGGACATGTTCGCAGTGACAGTAGCGCGATTGAGAGCATCACTTCGAACAACCCCAAACTCTGTATCGCTCAAAATTTGAGAAACAATGTGAGAAAAGTCCTCTATCATTTACGTGAGCCGAATCCGATGGCGGAGTGATGAAACTTTCTTGGGAGGCGCCATCTACAGCACCTTTTTCTATGGCTCCCACGGCTCTAAGAAAGCGGTGAATCTCCTTCCAACGGGTTTCGCCACCAAGTACAACAAACTGAGTGAGCTTTTCAAACACTTCACCCACCACATCATCCAAGGAATGTCGTCTGTAAATAAAATTTCACAAAAAGCTGAAAATGGGGTTTTCTCAAGCCGTTTGATTGAGTGAAAAGGCTCAGCAAAATTTTATGGATGGTAGGAGTTTAGCACCATTTGATACAGGAAGGCTCAAAAGACAAAGCATAGACATGATTGGTCAGTCATAAAAAGTTGAAATCAAAAGCTAAAAATATATGATTTGCAAAAAACTCGAAAGTTTATGTCCATAAATTCACGGAACCCTGGCGCCTGCATACATAATAGAAACCAGCATGTACTCGAACATGAGCATATCTACTGAATTCCGCAAGAAGACGAGCAAAAAGGTTGTCTATAAGATAACAAACTTCCCCCACTTCCCCTATCATCAATCAAAAGTCTTGTTGCTATCCCATATAAGCGTTACCACCTATTCATAGTAAAAAGGGTATTATAAACCGTTTTGCTCATATGCAAAAGCCTGCTACTTCAAAACAAGCTAATGTAATTCTGTGGGGATATGTGAAAAAAAATTATAGAATAGTCAACCTACATTTTTCCTCTACGAGTTGGTCGAAGTTTATCAACCTGTAGACTTGATGAAAGTTGAGATAATAGTTCAGCAAACGCGTTCTTTTTTGTGCTGTTCAAACGTTTGAGCAACAGGTCAATCAAAGGCGGAAGCAGCTCAACGTCGAAGTTCATCATTGTCTGCATCACTTTCACTTGAAACTAAACATATTTGCAGGATAAAACAAAAATCAAGTTTTGCAAAGATGGCTACTAGCCTTCTTCACTGCTTCCCATTCTCCGTTCAGCAAGGACAAAGCAGAGATAACGGCTAGTTTGCATCCAACCGGGTCGGTTTTGACTTCACGTAGAAGTATTGATTCAAGCTCTTGTACCGCTTCTAGTTGAACGGCAACATCGGTAAGAATCTAAAATGTAGTGAATAAGTAAGAAACCCTACAACATGGGGTGCCTCAGTGCTGAAATCACAACACAGAAATCAATTGTAATAGTCAAGAGAGCAATTCAACCCAAGTCACCTCTGGTATTGACGAAATCAATGAGTTTCTTATTTCCGGCGTCCACTTTTCCATCTCTCGTTCGAAAACTGAACAGAACAGCGCTTGACTGTCGTAGATGCGATTGATGAAGCGGATATGTGCTATACACAGGTGTGACAAATTCAGGTCGTTTTGTCCCTTCCTGAAACAAAACCTTTGTAACTGTCTAGAAAATGGAAAATCAAGGTTTCGTACTTTTGCAATATTTCAAGTTGACTCATGAGAAGATCAAATGCTTTGGCCTGCGATGATCGGCAGAGTATGAGAACACGGAATAGCGATTCTTGAATTCCGCACGATCTGAAGGGAATGATATGACAGCAAAACTCTACATCCATATGTACAATGAATGCGTAACCTACGAGTGTGAAGGCTCCAGGTATGTGATAAGATTGTTATTCACTGTTAAAGCTTCTTCAAAAGCATTCAGCAGATCATCTCTGTACTGTAATAAAGGGTGATTACATGCTAAAACAGAGGCACACAAATTTCATGCGTACTTACTCTTGCAACGTTCATGTTTTTATCCAACTTTGCCACAAGAAGATCGCTAGTTGTATCACCTCAAGAAATAAGTGGAAGAAGATACATATATGGTCAACAATATATATGGTATATGGTATATGGTTATACATGGTATATGGTATATGGTCATCGTATATGGTTCAAAGATGTAAATCTCCCCCAATTTCATAGCGGATCTGACAACCTGGGAGTTTTACAAGAGGCAGAACAAATGACTGCGCGAGTGACTGGAGGGGAGGCGGTCTCTGGAAGGATGAAGGTGAGATCTGATGCGTTTCAAAAGTGGATAACAAAGGAAATGAGAGGTATGACGAAATGTAGAACATGTGGTCTTCAGAACTGAAGTAAGATCATCATTAAATGATTTGGTATACTGGCTGCGTGTAGACCGATATATGAGAAGTAACACGCCAAAGCATCCGAAACATGCTAGTGGAAGAGCAAATGTGAAAAAAGAGAGGGAAAGAGAATTTGCAAAGACCCAAAAAATGAACAACATACCTATGTAAATGTATTTCTTATAGTTTTCGTCTATTCTGACCTCTATACCATCACGAACCAACATTCTCTCAAACCCATTTGATGGCTCCACCGCTTCACCATTGTCGTTGTTATAATTTACCACAATCCTAGAGCGATGCAAATTAGCAAGGGAAGGACAAGACAGTATTTTGTATTGAAATCATGGAAAAAGGTACTTTTACCTTTAGCACACATCTTAAACCTCTCTAAGTGCCCAAGTAAAAAATAGCTGTACAGCACACCTGTCACGCCTTTGTGTATCTTGAAATTCATTAACTCGTACATCTCTCCCACCAAAGCTACGTTGTGACAGGCTCTTTTGCGAGTTGAGAACTGAAAGACATCAAGAACGAGGAATGTTGAGCTGCAGAATTTCATCAGTACAACTGACCATTGCCATTGACAGGGGCATCGCCAGCCGCAGCCGCAGGGTCAGTAAAATCATCAAACAGATCGTCCTCCCCATCGGACCACATAGCTTCTATAAGTTTCAGCAGTAATCATATCGAAAAGAGAAGAATAGCCTTGTTGGCGATGTTATAGAGATGAACGGGGAACTAGAGTCTAGTGACAATCTAAACGGAGCATACTAGATGCGCATCGAAAAGCCTAAACCTGAAAAGCACAGCTGATGACATATCCATCAACAATTTACTTAATGATGGTTACTTCTGGCAAAACGATAATTAATCTCAACAACAACAGGGATAACAAAAACAGACTGAACTGTAATTAAAGTTAAAGAAAGCTTGTTTCATTTCTGAAATTTCTGTTCCAAAACATGAATAGACCAACACAGTCACAATAAATCTGTTAATCTTAAATGAAGAATCCAAGCTGTGATTGATATAGATAAGATACCTAAACTGAATTTAGAACTTGGTTCAATAAATTTCAAAAATTGGTTGTAGCCGCGCATCGAGCCTGGTTCTCCGTCGAGCGCGAAAACAAAGTTTGTCCCTCGAGCGCGCTTGCTCTGACATTCGTTCCGTACGAGCCGCGCGAAATTCGTACGAGCGGACTTCTCAATGGCCGTTCGCCCGCTAAATGCGCTTGGGTGACACGCGAATGTCGCGTGGCTGGTATACCTATAGTCCAGTGGCCTGCCCAGGATTTCTGCTCGGGGGGGGGGGGAGGGAGGGCGACAAAAATTTTTTTCGAACGGAGTGCGTGACGTTAGCCACGCACTCCGAAAGAATTTAAGGGGTGCTTTTCAAAATTCTTGCGGGTCCACGCCCCCGAAAAATTTTTTTTACAAAGCTAATTTGAATTTTTAAAAATTTTTAGAAATTATTTTAATTATTTACAAGTATAAACAAGTTATCTACACATTTTTATAACCTTTACAAGTAACTTTCAAAAATTTCGCGACCCATTCTCGGGGCCCCCCTCCCCTCGGTATGCCACTGCTATAGTGCCCTCCACAGTTGCTGCTATCTACCCTTGGCCTGCGTCTCAGACCTGCCATGTGTGGCTAACATGTAGGCAACATGGCAACAACATGTTTGCAACATGTCACAACATGTTGGCAGAACATTTTGGTCACGCCAACATGTTGCTGCATGTGCCAACGTGTTGCTGCCAACGTTGCTAACGTGTTAGTGACATGTGGCACGTCCGCGACGCCAGAAGGGTAGCAGCAAATGTGGAAGGGACGATATGTTATATATGTTATATCATCATTCGACTTCCCACCTTCACTCTGAGCGGCTGCTAACTACATTCTTATCCAATTATGGTTGTATTCACTCGATCTAAGTCGAACAAGATGAATTCTTCTGCCGCTAGTGGTGAGCTAAGCAGTGATGTTTTCGGCACCGACTCCAACTCTACTCAGAAGGCTGCTGAAATGGCAATGCACCTCAGCACTTTATCGGATTTTTTCGCACATGCGCAAAATGTACCAGCTCAAGTTGTAGAATCATTCAATGCCTTACAATCAATTTTGAATGATTCCCATGCTCTGTGCGAAGAATTCCAACGCCGCAGGAGTATTGTAATTCACGGCATTTCTGAGCTATCATCTGGCAGCCGTCCTTCGATAAGGCAAGCTGATATCGAGAATAAAGTTTCCGAAATAATGGATACACTCGATATAGAGGTCCGGCCTGTAGCTATCTATAGAATGGGTAAGGCTTCTGAGGGGAAACCACGGCTTACCAAAGTCGTGCTTCCCTCCAGGACGCATTGTCTCAAGATACTTAGCAAAGCAAAACTTTTACGCAATAACCCTCGTTTTTCAAGCATATTCGTACGGCCCAGTCTGACTCCTGACGAGCGCAAAAGGCATTTTGAATTGCGCAAGGCTGCACGAGAAAAAAATCAGGCGCTGGGTTATAAAGCTTATGTGGTTTATCGTGGAGAGCTAGTGAAGGTCACTGAAATCCAAAAACCTTCAAGGCAAGGTCTACATCAAGAAAAAAACTAAAAGATATGCATGGTCCCAGTAAAATCAACTGTGTTCTTTTCAATGCTCGTAGCCTTGTAAATAAAATTAATGCTCTTCACTTTTTCCTCTTCAATGATAAACCAGACATTGTATGTATAACTGAAACATGGCTCACCCCTGCCATTGAGTCATCTGAATTGTGCCCCAATTTCCCATACAAAATTCTTCGTAAAGATCGACTCAATAAACGTGGTGGTGGGCTATGTATTTTTGTTCGTGATAGCATTCTATGTAAGATATTACCGATGTCTACAGTAGGTAATTTCGATGTTCTTTCCATCAAAGTATATGGTTTGCAATTCGAGTGTATTCTTATACTTGTTTATCGTCCTCCTTCTTCTTCAGCCGATGATGACTCTCATCTTATAGATTTCTTACAGATTATTTGCAGCTCTCATCAGAATGTTGTCCTTTTAGGTGATTTCAATCTGATCATTGACTGGTCACGAAATGTCCCATTATGTTCGACTTCTAAACGATTCATGAATGCATTCAATGATTTACAACTCAACCAGCATGTACTACAACCTACACGAAATGATAATGTGTTGGACCTTATATTCTCCATTTCTCCTATAGTTAGTAATGTAGCGGCAGACCCCCACTTTGTGGATCTGATCACGCTAGCATTTCTTTCAATTTGATGATACCTATCAATTCCCAAGTGGATTCTTGCCTTGACTTTGACTACGTACACGGTGATTATTCCACTATTTCCTCCGCGTTAAGCACTATAGATTGGTGGGCATTCTTTGACAATTCATCTTCTATTGATGAAATGTATCAGCGCTTTGTTGATCATCTACATAATTTACTATTGCAATTTATCCCGCGAAAGCAAACCGAACGCTCGATTTGCAAGTATCCTCAACATATAAGAAACTTACTAGAACAAAGAAGCCGTTTATTTTCTTGCATCAAGAACCCTCTTATTTCTGATAAGTACAAAAAAATCAGTAAAGAACTATCCAAACATTTAACTAAATTCAATGCAAACAGACAAAAGAGATTTTCCGAGATGAAAATCTCATCTCTGTTCAGATACGCTCATTCATTTCTCAAGCAACAGAATAATATGATTATTTTACATGATCATCAAGGGAATCTACTTAAATCTGATCGAGAAATAGCTGAATGTTTTGGTGATTACTTTGCCTCTGTTTTTCGTCCTCCTTCAGGATCTATCCCTGATTTTTCTGATCCTTATAGCGTTACTCAAACATATTCCTCCACTTTATCTCGAATTCCAGAAACCTTCCCTTGGGAAGTGACAACCTTACTAAAGAAACTCAAATCGTCCACATTCCTAACAACAGATGGCATTCCTCAGATCGTTTTTAAGAAATGTGCAGTAGAACTAGCTGTTTCTGTTTCTATATTGATAAATTTTTCCTTGAAAATTGGTCAACTTCCCGCCATTTGGAAACATGGGAAAGTAGTTCCCATTCCCAAAGTCCAGAATCCACATGAAATTACACAATTTCGACCAATATCTATCAATTCCGTTGTCTGCAAAGTTGCTGAAAAGATAGTGAGACGTAAACTGCTGACTTTCTGCACACAGAAAAACCATATACCTCCCGAACAATTCGGATTTATCGAAAGATCTTCTACAACTCTTCAATTAGTTTCTTGTGATTTTTACTGGAAAAGAGCTTTAGCTCAACATCAACAAATTGATGCTCTTTATTTTGATTTATCCAAAGCTTTTGATAGAGTGGATATTCCAAAACTATCTCAAAAGCTTTATAGTATAGGAATCCGTGGTTTACTTTTGAAATGGTTGATATCTTACCTATCAAACAGAAGTTTTTCTGTGCGCTACAACTCAGCAACATCCTCTGTCTTTCCAGCAACAAGTGGAGTCCCTCAAGGGGGTGTTCTATCCCCACTCCTTTTCAATATCTATACTAATGACCTTCCCGAATGCTTATCTATAGATAAAAAGATCAAAGTTATGGCTTACGCTGACGATATAAAAGTATTCGCTTCATATTCTGACGCTAATAAGAATGAAGTAACTGAATCGCTGAACTCTTGTCTACATAAGTTACTGTCTTGGGCGGTTATGAACAGCATTGATGTTAATTTAAACAAAAGTGCTTGTTTGACCATCACCAGAAAGAAAAAGAATGATTCTCTGATGGACTATGCTCATTCTGGTATTTCCCTCTCTAGACCCGTACTTGTGCGTGATCTGGGTATATTTCTTGATTGTGAACTTCGCTTACGACCCCATATTGAGAAAATTTCCCGTGCAGCCTTGCACACGATGTACCTTTTGTTGCGTAACTTGAAACATGTTGATAGTAAAGTATATATCAGACTATATGCGGCCTACGTCCTACCCCTATTAGAATATGGAAGCCAAGTATGGAGTCCAAATTTGAAAAAAAGATGTTGTGACTCTTGAGAGAGTTCAGATGATTTTTACACGTATTTTGTACTACAGACTTTTTCCTGATGATAATTATCCATATTCCCTTCCATCCTATAGAAATAGGTTACGCAGCCTCGGACTTCATAGCTTGTTTTATCGTAGGATTGTGGCTGATTTAGTACTTGCATTTCAAATATTACGCCTTGAAACGAAATTATCACCTAGTGAGTTTTGGGTTTGGAGACCATGTAATGGACGAACAGGTAGGTTTAGCTTTTCCTGCCTTGATTCTCATGTATTAAATACGCCTTTCTATGATTCCTTTTTTGCTCGCACTTCTCGCTGGATGCAAAAACTACCTGATTCAGTTCTTTCGACGCCCAACTCAAAAACATTTAGAATTAAACTTTTGAAATGTGATCTTATGATTCTATTAGGAATTGATGAATCAGAATACTTTTGAAATCTACCTAGGCTTTTTTCTTTTTATTTTCAGTTTCACTACCGCTTTTGATTAGGAAAAAGAAACATATTACCATTCTACTTTACTCGCCAGGGAGTTTACATGCTATTCGTTTATCTTGTATTCTTTCTCTTTACTTTCAGAATTTATGGCGAACGATTATATGGCTCATTGCTTTGTACAGCAAGATTGTCTAGAATCTATTTTTAATACATTTCTATAAATTCTCTCAAATAGACTACTGTTCTGAATTTTGCTGCTCAAAATAGTTTATCTCTATTTATCCCATGCTAATTTCTTGACTGGAAATAATTTAGATTATACAGTAATATAAAACTTCGTTATTATTTATCTTGAGCTTTCTATTTCGCATCGTTGCAAATCTCCTGCCGGATTAAAATCAGTATCTGAATATTTACGTGAACTACCAGATCTTATACCTACTCTTCTACTTTTTCATCAGGCATTCGCATCTTTAGACTATTGAAAGCTTTTATCTTGCATGTGTTACATTCATATGCTCAAACACGGAGGAAGTGGAGGCGGTCGGTAGTGTAATGGTCGCCTAGGTACGAGTGGACTCGCCATATCGCCTAGGTACTACCACCAAAGCGTGCCACTCGAAAGTGATCTGTTACCCGCACTAGGGTATCCCATCAGGCTCCGTTATTTTGGGCACACATCCTACTACCTATTCTTTATGCTTGCGATCGAAGCTTTCAATAATGTTCTAGAGAATCTTTTTAGAAGATGCATAAACTATGGATACTACCACACTACTTCCTAATTTGATTTACTATATCCGGAACTTTTCAACCTTGTTATTATGATCCACACGCAGAAGATTTAGCGATGTGAAAATGAGAGCAAATCCTTTGTACATTTTTCGCGTGTGTATTGTGCATTATTTCCATTTTAGCGATTCTACTTTCTAGCACATTACACTGTAGTAATGTATTAAATAAATAAATAAATAAATAAATAAATAAATATATAAATATGTTGTCACTTCGGCGCCACTGGTACGGTAATTTCATACTTGTATCGCTGATATGACAATTTTGTGTTACGCCACCGATATGGCAGTTTTGGAAATCACGTCCGGCTACAAAATTGAGCAACATAGAGGGGGTGTAGGCCCTTTTGAACCCGTCGCGCGCGACGCTCGTCTCGCCGCGCGCAGCGCCGCTGGCAAAGCTAACAAGTCGCATTTGCAGTCAACGGGAAAATTCTTAGATCGAAGTATATAATATACCTGTGCCAAAAGCTATTATCATGTTAGACACGAAAGATGTACAAAAATGAACGAGTATTAACTCGTTATGGCAGTGGACATGTTGACCAATCAGAGGCGCGCTGTGATAGCGAGCGGTTCAAAAGGACCGTTTCCCACATAGAGGTGCTATCGAAAATTGTCTTTAGGTAGGACCACCTTGCGATTATGTACCTGTGTAAGTACTGTAATCACATTCAAGGCAATTAGCATGGAGGGCAGCCTATCGCTGCGTCGTACCTTACGCAAGTGCTTTACGCTTACAACGTGTGAAAATTACGCTATAGTTTTTGTGCACTTGAAATTGTAAAAATTATAACCGAATGCATAAATAGATCGCGCACAAAGTTAAACGTCTTTCTTTAACTATGGTAGCCGCCTAGTCACCTATTCCTGTGGCAGCGCATGGATGGACAGCTGATCAGCCGTATCGACCCTGCGCCGCGGTCAAAACCTCTTCGCGGAGAGCGTCTGAGGCTGCGTGCCCGCTACAACGGGTGAAAGGACGATATGCGGCTCGCATGCTCGTACTCAAAATGAGTGTTGTCGCGCCGCTCATACGCTCGACAGGCGCGGGTCGCAGAAATCGTCTTTTTGCGCGCCGTTCGTACTGTCGACTCCCCAACTTTGGCGAGGCGGGATCGTGTTCACCAAAGATCGATGGATCAGGCATGCTTCAGCACAGGGCACCGCAAATACATGGCACGCTAGCGCAACTCCACCTCGTTGAAGTTGTGGAGCTACTCCTACAAAACGAATGCCGGGAGGACGCTGTGGAACGCCGCTGATTCTGAAATTTACCATCGGCTCCTCAACTGCTGCGAGGGCAATCGCGAAGGTCAACCGATAATCAATATTTCAGCTATGTTTCAACACAGGGTTACCTTGCTGCAAAAGCTTTCGACCGCATAAGCCATGAAAAATTGCTGTTCAAACTTGATCATTGTGGCATCAGAGGAGATCTATTGAAATGGTTTAAATCTGACCTTCAAGATAGAAAAATGACTGTTCGTGTTGGCCTAAAACGTTCTGAATGTTCTCCATGCATAAGTGGGCTTCCCCAGAGAGGCGCACTGTCACCTCTCTTGTTCAACATCCACGCGGCTGATCTACCAAAAATACTCAAAACCCACCCAGATGTCCACATACTGATGTATGCAGACGATATCAAAATTTTCGGCATCTATAATAATGAAAACCGCAGAATAGTCCGGGATGCACTACAAGGTGCCATCAACCTCATAGTTGGATGGTGCAAAATTTGGGACATTTCTGTAAACGTGAGTAAAAGTCATGTGTTCCATATAGGTGTTACCACAGATGATGATTTCCATTACGAACATGCCGGCGAAACCTTGATCAAAAAAACATACGTTAAAGACTTAGGTGTCATATTCAATCCCTCTTTGAAACCAGATTTACAAGTCTCAGCCGTTTACTCCCGCGCAGTCTCTCTCTCACTTATCTCATTTATCGTAATACAAAAGTTGTTGACCCCAAAGTACTCCTAACTTTATAAATCTTTTCTCGTTCCCATTTTAGAGTATTCGAATCAGGTGTGGTGCCTCTTCCTGGTAAAGCACAAACATCCTCTGGAGAATGTTCAGAAAGTTTTTACAACTACTTTTTTTACCGCTGCTTTCCCAGTACTTATAGTACTGGGAAAGCAGCGGTAAAAAACCCCAGTCACTGCCAAGCTATGAAGAACGTCTAAAAATACTTAGCCTCAATACTCTCTCATATCGCAGGATCATTCATGACCTTGTATTTGCTTTCAGAATTTTCAGAGGGGAGAATATATTAAGGCCTTCCAAATACTGGATCTTTGAACCTACTTATGGAAGGATGAGTTGCTTTTCCATTTATCATCAGCGGAGCGGTAGGCGAAAAATCAACTTTACCGAATTACGATTTTTTTGATCGAGTAGCAAAGTTGATTCGAAAATTACCCAGTGGAGTTTTTGCGTTTTAAAAAACAGTACCTCTTTCAAAAACAAATTGAAGACACTGAAACTGAATGAGATATTTACGAATAACTTTAGTACGACATCTGCATGGCTTTGATATGTTGGCAATACACGAATAAATCTTTACTGCGATTACCAACTGGCTCTGAATGACAACTTTTGGAATTTCGTCATATCCTGGACGTTACTATCGATTATAAGTCACATTCCTTCATCGCATAATATCTACATCTATATTGTTTTTATTGGCTGGCGTGTGATTAGATTCCTCATCCATGTTCAGTTTGATTTTCGTATGCCTTGTGATTTTGTTGTTTTTCAACACTGTTCACTTACATTTATTACTAACCCACATTCACCATCATGTTAGCTCAGATGCAATCGACACTTCTTTTTTTCTAATTAGTACAGCCTAAGCGCTTGTTTATTCTGATTGACTTTCAAACCTGATATTAAGATGACATCATTTCGGAGTCATTGGACTCTCCCTCGAATCTTTTGGGCAAGGTCAATTATTATTCCACCAACTTAACCTTGCCTTGCTTATTCTATTGCTTCAAGAGCATTTTCGCTGCCAAAAGTACGACATCTGCACCATTTTCACACATTAGAGTTTGTCTTTTCTTCGCTGTCGCATATGATCTATTTATATACTACTACCTTTGATATTCACTTGGAGTCATCAAACTCTTCCCGGTGCACTGACTCTGGGACCGTGGATTTAGCATCGAAATCGTTGAGAGGATATCTCAGGATCATTTTGCTGGCAAATAATGGGGGCATGGGTGCCATCTCCATGATCACATTCATTCAATGTAGAACTTATAGTCATTTAGCAGTTCGTACAGGCTGTATCATTGCATTCACTAATTTAGTCTAAAGAATTGACCTGAACTACGTGATGATCTATTCTTGTGGTTAGTTATGTATAACTTGTTTTTACTCGTTTGTAAAGAACGCCAAGAGCGTATTGAATAAAACAAAATAAAATAAAAATAATAGTTTTTCGAGAAGCTTTAGGTACCATTTTGTGGAGCTGGCTTCAACTTAGATTTACAGTGTGAAGGAAGTTCAGAATCAGAATCTATCTTCGTCACTGTAGGAGCACGGTAGCGGTAGGAACTTGTAGCATTTGGGCCATTGTGAAAAAGGCCATTTGAAAAAAATTTCTAAAAATGAAAAAAATGTGTAATAAGGTTTTCATACATACTAATTTCATTGCACAAATTTCTGCGTTTCCGTAAAGCTTTTTGAATGGCCTACTCCGGTTTTGACGAGTAGCTGGTTGTTGTGGTATATCTTACATAACTTATGAAAAATGCTTTACGGTGAAGTCGTTTCATATTAGGAATGAGCAGCTTTGATCAAGCCAATTTAAAAACATTCAGCTTCTTTGGTTCTATTTTAGGGGTGAAATATGACCCTTATTTACACAAAACTCCCCTTATAGTTCCTACCGTGATCCTACAGTAATGAAGAAGGATATTTGAACAGCACCGTACTGCAAATCTAACTTAAAGCCAGCTCTATAAAATGGTAGCTAAAGCTTCTCGAAAGACTTCATTACAAGAGAGTTATTAACAATCAAACAGTAGGCACATTTTTTGGGAACACCCTTTATTTCTCAAGGCGTATCAATAAAGATAAAAAATTTCAGAACAATTCGTGCATTAAAATGATATCCGTCAGTATAAAACACCGTGCATTCTGAGCAATACTCCTTAGAATTTGTCGGGAAGTAGTTCGAGCAAGGAAAGCTTGTGCGTCGTATTGGGATGTAAGAGACTGCTCAGCAAGAATTGTTACTTTCAATCTGCTAACGAATTTGCGCGAAGTCTAGCACATCTTTTAGCTGCACTCCAAGGTCGGTATTGGCCCTGATATTCCTTCTCAGGCCTCGGACAGAATTCACGCGATTTGATCGTCGCGATTCAATCGTCGCAATTTTCATTCAGTCTCATTTTACATTCAAAAATTTTGGGCTAGAAAAGTATCACAACCGAAATGCAAGCTGGTCGGCATGCAATGAACTCGTAACAGTTGTCTTGTCGCGATTGAATCACGACGATCAAATCGCGTGAACTCTGTCCGACGCCTTAGATGCTATAAGCTGTAGAGTCTGCAATGGGATAACATACAACGGATGGGCTTGCGCACTGAGCTTTCCTAGTTTTCTCTTATCAAACGCTTTTCCACCTAATGTTAGCCTTCCATTAACTGAAGCTGTTTTGAAAGGTGCGGGGTTAGATTACTGCTGGAATGTCAGGTTAAATAAAGGCTTCTAACATACCGATTGGCTCAAACATATTAGAAAATATATCACAAATGCCTAGTTTTACGAACAGAGAACATACAAAATAGTGCGAGGATTGTTTAAGTGGTTTGAGGCCTTGTGAAGGTAGAAGACTATATATCGCTATAGGCTATAAAACTTGTCGTCACACGCGACCAGCTGCGACAGACCACGCAGCCCCATATATTACGTTGTATATCTGTCCCAGCTGGCTGCTCTGGTTGGAGCTTATCAGCAACATATAGTTTCCTACCCGCCTTATCCTGCGTCAACAATGGCCGCAAACGCACCGACCTTCGCGATCCGGCAAAACTTTGTACCTTTGCACACTGCATATGACCTCTTCCATACATGCCAAGACGAAAATGAGTTTACGCAATTTGGTGTGGTTGAAATTTAGAGTGCCACCAGTAAAGGTTGCTCATAAGTAGAGCAAAATATTTGGGTAAAGATTAAGAAACTGTACATGCTAGATTTGAAATTTTGTGTTCAGTCCAGGTTATGAAACAACATTGTGAGGTTTTCATTTTATTCAGAAATAAAAGGTTAAAAAAATTAATTTTTAATAGGTGCAGCCCCTTATGAGGCAACGTAGAATTTTTGTGTGAACGTAGTTAGTTTGTGCTTGGTCTAAATCTTCTTCTTTTTACGATGCAGATCCTTTGGTTGTTGTTCCTTGAATCCTGGAACCTGAGAAAGCTCGACATCCTTGTTGACAAGAGCATCTACATTTTGTCGAATGGTCGCAGTGGCCACCTACAAAACAGTTAATTTTGTAACGTCATTGGATGGAATCCAAAGACAATAGCTGGATAAATTTTCTCGCCTTTGCACACTCTTTTTGTGAGCTTGAGAAAATGCTCAGTCGAAACGAAGGTTGTTTAACAAGTCGTCCAAACGGAGACGAATGCTCACATAAGCTGAGTATGCGAGCTTTATGCGTGGGCTGCAGTCATTTGAGAGCTGTGCGTTTTAAACGACACAAAGACGATTATCCTTCTAGCAAACACACCATATCTCGCGTCTGAAGATAGTGATCCGCGCTTGAGGTCCTGTTTGTCTGGATCGTGGCTTCCGCCTTGGTGCGTTAGGATTTTCCTACCTCGGCATGACAATGCCTGACGGTAATGTCGGAGCGGATACCTTAGCTGTAACTCTGACGAGGTGTCTTATTCATCAGCTTTGGCTGACTTTATATTTACCTGGGCATACAAAAACAATTTCAACATCGTAAGCTCTTTAGCCGAGGTTAGACTCAGAATTTAGAAATTGGCGAACGAGAGAGTAGCAGGGAGAACAACTATATCTCTGGCGCTGCCAAAAGGCCCAAGCACTCAGGGCTCCAAGTATGTTTGAGACGTTACGAGGACATCATCTTGATGAACGATTTAGGGCGCCGTGTCGTACAAGAAATTGAAATGAATGTTCTATTTTTTCAACTCTCGTCATCTCCAAAAGAAAAGTGTCAGTCACATTAGTTTGTGTTACAAGCCGAGTATCTTTTTGTCCTCACTACTCGATTTATGTCATTTAGGAAAGCTTGGCAGTAATAGCTGTTTATCATCGAGTGTTGTTGTAATAGCTTGCAAACATTTACAAAACGACAAAATTAATTAACAGATCTTGAAGTGCTCCAGTACGAATCAGATTTATGATCGCAAGCGACAATTGCGCACTATATACTTGTGACGGATGCCTCACATCTTATTATTTGGCTTTGAACTTTGGTAGAAATATGAGTTTCATTGTTTTTCGTTATCTGAATCCGTTTTGTAAGGCGAATGTTGTTCCTTTCCCTTTTACCATACTTGATGAGAACATGACAAAAAGATGTGTCAACTTTTCTGCGCATACCAAAAAATTGACATGTCAATTAAATGTTTGACAAGTTTCAAAAAAAAAAATTTGTTTTGTTTACCTATCAACGTAAGTTTATCGCATGTTTAGTTCAATACTTACATCATTTTCAATCCAACGATTATCAAATGAACATTGACATCATAGTAAAGTCATCTATACGGACATGTTCAGTCCGACAGGACAGAGAGGAGAGCTGTCAAATTTCGGAAAAAAAAGAATTCGCAAATGTGCAAGCGGCAACCGGATAAAGCTTAACTCGAATCCAGCTTTTGGAAGAGTAGCAAGACTACGTGATGACAGAAGATAAAAACTCGTAACGGGACTACGCTTAATGATATTCCGGACTTTTTGTTACAACGATTCGTTGTTCTGCTGAGCCAAAGAGTTGATCATGATTGAATGGTGCAAAAATGAACTTAATGGATACGACTGCCGACTGGAACAACTACGTAGAGATGCGAATGCCGAGCGGCTTTGTGGATAAGAAGAGAAATCTTGCAGAGAAGGAAAATCTTTGAGATAAATGAAAGTTCACAAGATAAAAATCATGCCGGTCGCATATTTCTTCAAGAGTGAATTTTCATTAGTCCATGCTCTGATCTCATTTGTGCTAGTTTTTCATTTTTCCGTTTTCAGTTGCTTATGTTTTATGTGTGCCTCGCTCCACAATAAACTTTCTATTCTTCCTTGGTGTGTAAGGATTCGGCCAGACTGCGCTGTTAAAGCCGCGTCCGCTCCTTTGATGAAACATACAACTGCGTACGCCGCGTAAGCGCTTTCCCAGCGAAGTCTGGCCCAACCCTAAAGGGCCGGGCATACATCACGCGATTTCATCGCCTCGCGATTCTCCCGTAAAAACAACTTTTACGAGTCCATCGCATGCTGATCATTTTGTCATTCGGTTGTGATATTTATTTTTTTCCTTTTTTTATTTATTTTCTGAAGCTACCGTAGATATACGGTAGAGGGAAGTAACCCCTTTGAATCAAGTTTGAGCAAAATCGCGACTATGAAACATTGAGGCCCAGACAATGAAATAGAGTCAAATTCTAATGTGGTCCTGCGGTTGGAATTGATTTTGAACTACAAAATGAAAATACAAATGAAAATATTAAGTCAAATGTTATACAAATACTTATAAGTAGTTTGAAAAAAAAACATAAGCTCAAGTGAAAATGCATGAATCGCCGTAGAAGTATGCCCATGAACAAACAACTAGCGAATTAGCCGTCGCGATTTCGACGCTACTTGCACCGAATCGCGACGACCAGAAATCGCGGCGATGAATTCGCATGATGTATGCCCGGCCCTTAATTCAACCGGAAAAATGCTCGGATCTAAGTGATGAATCAATTTATAGGGATCAGCAATACTAAAGCCAGGAAGTTCTAGGGATACTAGCTGATTTGTGACACATGAAAAATATCGAAGAGGTTCCGTCATCCACTCATCGACACAGACGCTGAAGTCTACCCAGACAATAGTTCCTATGCGGAGAGCGGCTGAATAAACAGTACAGTCTTTTTCAACGCTGAGTAGGCGAAACATTCCAAGTGGAGCAGCGCGTCCGCACCGCCACTGGCTCAGCGAGATAGATTAGAATGAAGAGACGCAGATTGTAAAGCGGTGCGAATCGTTGCAAAGCGAACTCCCGCCAGTCCAGTTTCCTCCTAAACCGAGTTGAAACTTACTGTACTCTAAGGTTCTTCACGCCATTATATGGATTCTTTCCTGATTCTATTTCACGGCAAAAACAGGTTTAGGATAAAAATTTGATCATTGCTGTGAGTCATTAGAAAGCTCTAATCAATGTTTTGAGAAATCCTGCTTCTGCAAAAAACATTTTACATAGCATTGGAATCTTATCAAATGCTACTTCACTGGAACTAATCTTTAAAAATGCGATTAAAAATGCTATTTCTTCCTTGACGCATGACAGCTTTCTATCTTCAAAAAGTGGGCCCGCATAACGAAAAGTACCGCATTGCACTTTACCATTAATCAGCGGATATCTCCGTGTGCCTCTCGCGCTTTGCACCTTCCTTGCCGGTCTTTTTTAGATGCATACAAAGCGTGCTTTTGCATCAACGCGTAAGGCAGCAAATGGGCTGAGCTGTGGCACCGATAAAAGTATCATAAGATACATATGTCATTCTATGCCCCCTATCGCACTAATCATGCTTGGAAGCTTCGCTGCTTAACGTTCGTTATTACGCATAATGGTCGGCAAGCTAGTCTGAACGATGAGTGTGCACTTCATACGTGATAACATGTACGACAGAGCAAGATAATGGAATGGAAAACCTGAAGTAAATAATAAGAGAGCTCACATCTCCTGCGTTGGTAATCTGTAACTCCATGCCTGTATAGACTCGCAACCATAGCATAATCTGTGGAATAATACAGAGCTCATACTTTCTCACTGTCTTTCGTTTTTTCTTAATGAGAAAATCAACTTCCTACCTGGCGCATTGCTGACCGTGAATCCTCCTGTTTGGCCCACATTTTGTCCCTTACTACTTCAGATAGCTTCTTGGGTGTGTTCCCGGTAAAACCATTAAGGACACCTTCAGTAATCTAAGAATGATTGCCATTATAATTACACTTTTTGACATCTCCGAGTTCCTCACTGACAAGAGCTTTTGCATCGAAACTCGAAAGACCTTCGTACGGTTCACTTGCAGAAAATATCTCATATATCAAGATCTGCAATTGTTCAGCTCATCTTTGATTATTACGAAAGCAGTTATCCTTTGACAAGCATATTATAGAATGCATCATTATTTGAGACAGCTTTGTTGAGAGATAGCCGGGGGCAAAATTTGGAGTATTTTATGTGGTGTATGCGTTCTTAAGAATCATAATACCACAGCCGTACAACCAAATTTCGCTTGCGACTACATAATCGCTGCAAAGCAATAAAATCTGATTTTTCCATATTTTGAGTTGAATTTCAGGTTATGTATTTACGAACAAAGGGATTGCGAAAAAATTCTTATCGTGAATGTATCTTCTTACGCATCAGTTTCTGTTGCTGCTATGATTGCATTACCCCTCACAGGCTTGTACAGTCGAGTAGATTCAGCGGTAAATATAGTGTGCTTGCACAGAAGGTGAAATGCGGTGAAATTTGCGCGTGAACAAGCAGCTACGCCAGTCCTGCGGGAATCGTGCGCGCGCAATTGGCCGGCGTCACAGTCGAGGCTATTTCTTCACGCGCAAATTTTACCGCATCTCACCTTTTGTGCAAGCACACTATATTTACCGCTGAATCTACTCGACTGTATATGTGGACTCAAGTAATATCTGCTGCATGACGAAGGCGGTTGCCCAAATAGGTTGAAGGCTGTTGCGCACGCGGCGCGCGGGCAATTGTCAACCACCGGGCGCGCGCACGCTCGGTCAGCGGTCATCCACTGGAGCGTGCGCGCGCCCCGTGGCTGACAATTGCCCGTGCGCCGCGTGCGCAACAGCCTTCAACCTATTTGGGCAACCGCCTTCGTCATGCAGCAGATATTAATTATATAAGCTGCACCTTCATGTTAATAAATCTTATAAGGCTCAAGCTTGGACCCTGATATAAAGCAGTGAGCTTTCGAGGCTAAGTAACGTAATACAGTCGGAACTCACAAAAATGATAGATAATATAATAACGGGCTAAGGATATTTACGTGTTTTTGTGTGGATGTGTGTACCCGGTCAGACTTCACGCGACATCGTCGCGATCTAATCGCCAAGATTTCCATTCATTTTCATTTCACAGTCAAAAATGTCGAGCTGGAAAAGTATCACAACCGAATGTAAGTTGATCGGCATGGAATGATGTTGTAACAGTTGTCTCGTCGCGACTCAGTCGCGACGATCAAATCGCGTGAAGTCTGCCCGGGGCCTAATTCTGTCTGTCTGTCACGAAATTCGTAGAACGTGTTCCAGCCAACCTCCTGAGCCCAAATTTTGCACAGCGCCTGCTACCAACATGAGAGTCTACTATACAAAGGCACGAGCGGTGTAGCCCACGGTGATTATGGCATCTTATCGCAAATATCAAGCCATGAAAAGTCCAAAAACCAATTCAAATTTGCATTTGTTCTTTCGAGAAAAGTTTCGTTCATGCGATATTACCGATCTCATATGGAAAAGCTTTTGGAATGAATAGTTGCTTACAAATAATCGTGATAGTCCGCATAGCGCGGTGAGTTCCAGTGTCATTATTGTGCGAGAATGAGTAAGACATACAGATAGTAGGGCCAGTGCGAGCCTCTGCGAAGCAGAGGTGAAGCACTAGTGATAGATAACTTGTCAGCGACACAAGGCACGTATCAAACAAAACCTTACATGATGGCTCTTATGTCAGTTATCAAAACTTATGTTAATTATCGAAATCCTCTAACAGCAGACTGCTATCACTGCAGACCAATTTGAAGGCTAATGTTCGAAATTGACCAAGGAGAGACGACAGAGCTCGGCCTAGACTTGTAGGCAGAGGACAAAAACTCGATTTTGAGATGTTGTGCTTACTCAGGCCTATCTGTTATGCTAAATTCTAAAATCCACGCTGGGGATGCGAAAACGGCGAAAAAGGGCTCTCACAGGAAGGAAATCAGCAGGTGGGTAGGGTTTTCTCCACTATGGATTCACGCTCCCAGCTTCCGAACCGATCTTTTCAAGTCATACATTCGCACTGAGTAATTGCAATATCAGGCAGCTTGCGAAATCGAGAAGATTGCTTAGGAAGCTGGGAGTGTGGGTTCACAGTGGGGAAGATTCCACCCATATGCTGATTTTCCTCTTGTGTTAGAGCCCTTTTTCGCCTTTTTTGCGTCCCCAGTGTGGATTTTCGGATTCAGCATAGCGATTAGGCCTGGGTAAGCACAAAATTCTCAAAATTTTTCCCGGACACTGCCTTAAAATGAACATGCTTGTATTGTCATAAAACTGATATCAAGATGAAAAGGCAGAGTTTTTGACGCAGCCGCTGGTGATTCTTCCTCACTGCCTTCCTGAAGATATCTAAAGCTTAAAGGCAGCGTCCAGGCAGATCTTTACCTTTGGGGCTTTTACGTGGAAAGTACTTTTGGGGCCCTAACTAAGGCACTGCCCAAGCGGCAGCTCAGGTGCTCTAATGGCCGAGATATTCCCCTCGAAACTGGCCCCCGCGAACGTATTCGCATGGATTTAAGGCAGTTTCGCGCCAGGATCCACGCTTTGCGCCATGAATCCATGCGAAACACGGTCGCGGAGTCCAGTTTCGAGGGGCATATCTCAGCCATTATAGCACTACCTGAGCTGCCGCTTGGGCAGTGCCTTAGTTAGGGCCCCAAAAGTGCTTTCCAGTAAAAGCCCCATAGGTCCAGATCTGCCTGGACGCTGCCCTTAAGTGATTTCGAAAGGATAGGTGGGTGTCAACTACAGTTAGCACCGAATATTCGTGTTTGAATAATTTATTCGAAATATTCGACTATTCGAATATTCGAATAGTCGAATATTCGAATAGTCGAATAATGGACTTTCTCAAATATTCGAATAGTCGAATATTTGAGAAAGTCCATTTATTCGATTATTCGAATAGTCGAATAAATGAGAAAGGCCTATATTCGAATGATTCGTTCATTCGACTATTTCGAAAAATGACTTATTCGAATATTCGTTCATTCGACGAGTTTTAAATAAAGGTTATTCGAATATTCATTCATACGAGTAGTTTTAAAAGATAGTTACTCGAATATTCGAATATTCGAATATTGCATTCAAATATTCGAATAATATTCGAACATTTATTCGAATATTAGTCGAATATTCGACCAAGTTCGGTTATTCAAGTATTCATTCATTCGAATTTTGGAATATGCCAATATTCGAATATTCAAATTCGAATAAAATGAAAATCGAAAGTCGAATAATATTCGTTCATTCGAAGAATTTTCGAAAATCAAGTATTCAATATTCATTCGTTCGAAAAAATTTTAAAAACTGATTATTCAATATTCCTTCATTCGGCGAAAATTTTTGTTCGTTACAACTATAGTGTCAACTAGTGGTTCTGGGAGCTATAGAGTGAGAGCGGTTTTATAAAAACATGCATGTCCTATCGTCAATTTCAAGAAGGGGTGGTCGCAAAGAAAAGCAAACATTGCATACTCCGAAACAGTAGACGTCTGACTTCTGCGTATAATAAAACTTCGTCAGCGTTTCCGGTGGCATCCATCTAAGTGCGACTCGCGTCGCTGACCTTATAGTGTAGAAGGTGCCTCTTTTCGACATTGAGAAGCCGATCAGTTTTACCTTGAAAAAGTCCTTTTGTAAACACCAAGTGAAAAAATCTAGTTCCTTACAAACTGTCGGTCACAAAGGCAATTTTTAGCAGCAATGTCACGATGCAATATAGATTTCTGATGAAGATATTCTAAGCCCCAACCAGCGCACGAAACCATCATCAACAAGTCGTCTCTTTTGATGGCACCTTTGTTCTCGCGAAGGTGAGCATCCAAAGCACCACCTGAAAGTTTTTGAAAAATGATACCATTTTACTTATTGCCTGTACCTGCAACGTATTCTAGAATGAAGCAATGCGGTTGTGCCATGAGACACACTCCATAAAACTGTGTAACGCAAGGATGACTCAAATTTCTTAGCAAGCGGCACTCTCGCATTAGCTCCAAAACCTTCTGTCTAGCCTCCATTGTTCTGCCGGGAATCTATAGTAGCTATTACAGTTTGCTGACAAACTTTCTGTAATAATTTTGTTCGCTACCGTTTTCACTGCAACAACCAAGGGCTGCTGACCCTGCACGTATATCTTTCCCTTTCTTACATCTCCAATTGTTAAGCCAGCCACTACAGCTTCAAGCATTATATTTTCGGCTTTAAATTCCCATGTGGCAAGTCCGATAGATTGTCGTAGACGAATTAATTGCTGAAGAAAGTAATCAACGTCCAATAACATTTATCAGGTTGCTGCATAAGTTCTGTCCGACTTTTTTGCCTTATGTTTGAAGCAGGTGTTCTAAGAGATTCTTATCTTTAATGCAGTATTGTTGGTGTTAATAGTAAGCTCTTTCCTTGCTCTTTCTAACGCATTTCAAATTTCGATAAATTTCTTAGTGTACGGAGATTTCAGGCCTAAAATCTCTAAATGGCAGAGGTATGTCCTCACCCTGGAAATATGTTCTTGCGAGAAAATCTCCATGATGCGCCCTTCAAGTCAAGTTCTTTCATTGGTTTCGGAATAAGGGTATAGAAGGCTAGTATATGCAGAAGTTCGGTTCTGCGAAGAAAACGTCTTGCTAGCGAAATTGTCTCGAACATTAATTTTTTGTATGGATGTTTCACAAGCAATAACTTCCTGCGAATGAAGGCAAACGATGAGTTCAAAGTTGAAGGTGCTAGGGCAAAGCAAGAGCTAGCAGGGCCCATCCACCAATTTTTTTCGGCGCTCACGTCATTTGTAAAATTTTCATAATTCGTAAATAGGCACGCGCACATGTGCTGAAGCAAGGTCAAACTGTGGCTTCTTTTTTGCTCGGTCAAAAAAATCTCTCGGCAACGCAGACCCTATGGGCTCTTTAATGTTGCAGAATATTCCGCGGAAATTTCTCTATCTATCCACTGCTAGATAAGATGCCTATCAATTATCTAAGGGAGAATTGCCTTGTCAAAAAAGACAGGTTTGAAGAAAAACGCTGTAAAGTTTTTGAGTTCTTGCTTTTTCCTTAACAAGGATTTTCACAGGTATTAATATGAGTTTGATAGCCAAATAAATGCTCAACAAATAGAAGCTAAGATCTTGGAAAAAAGTTGACTTTGAAAAAAGTTATGACATTTTGAACTTAAAAAATTTTAATCCGACAGAACTTATGCAGCAACCTAATACAAATCATGCTAAAAGTCTTGTAAATTTCTATCAAATGGGGTAAAATCTGCGTCAAAGAAAACAGGATTTGTAAATCTACAGCGCGATACTTCGATGAGGATTGATAAATCTTGTGGGATATTTATCACCTATCAAATCGATGATATGTTTGCAGAGCTTCGAATTTCGTTACAAAAATTGAACACCTGCTGAAAACCGCTATTCTGGCCGGCTAACTGTGCTGTCTTTTCCTTACTGAGTTTTCTTTTTTAGCGAAGGGATAGTCATGAAATTGGCGCATCTGTGTGGCACTACTGTTCATTTTACAAGAAAACATCCGTGACTTTTTTATCGCAATCAAGGAACTGATTGATTCCATGGGACCTTCGATATTCACTTCTGCTTACCCTAATTTCAGAGTACAAGACCACAGATTTTTTTCCAAAACTTGATCAGCTTAAACACAATAAAAATTTCGCGGTAAAAGGACGCTCTACCGTGCTGCTCCATACCTGAAAGAGTTGTGAGGGAGAGAGACTACTTCGCGTGGCACAGCAAGCGAGCAGCTTGCTTGTATAGGCTGCTGCATGACGAAGGCGCAATATCTTCGGGCGCGAACGCGGCTTTTTTAGCCGCAGAGCGCATAAGGCGCAGAATTTACAACGGTAAAGATACGCGCGCGACGTTTGCGCTCGCTCAACTAAATGTGCTATTGCGCCTTCGTCATGCAGTAGCCTTTGAAATGAAACATCTGCGTCTTGTACTCTGAATTAGAGTGATTTCTGCGTACAAGTCAATCGTCATGACACTTTCATTATGGTTTACAACGAGAATTGGAAAAACTTGACGTTGGTGATGCAGCGAAAGAAGTCTAGAGCTCTCGTCGACATCCTGACGATGTCAGCGATTGTGTGCGCCGCGCATGCAGTTTTGACAAATGCAATTTCTCGGCTTTCGCGTCTATTCATATTCTTATTTTGCATGATGATAGCCCTTAAGGGTAAGCTGAGCGCCTATATGAAATGTTTTGTTTGATCTTCTCACGCTGATGCTACGTCTCGGTAGGCGCGCAGGCAGTCAAGTTCGTCGTCACGAGTTTATGAGTGCCCTACAATCTTACTGAGTGTAGTTTGAGTTAGATGTATACTGGTTAGGCAACGGGTTGTGAACTCGTCTAAATTCATGTCTGTTAGCGAAATATTTCTCCCACAAAAGTTCATAGAGATTTTCCTGAGCGAATTCAACTGTGAAAATCTATTCGTTGCAATAAAGTCTAACAAATATGATGGCATTCCATTTAGTATATCCAGTTTCGGTTCAATAGATCGATATTTGCAACTATTGCGACCTAAGGTTCCTCCTACTTACTTACTTTTTAGATACTTATAAAGGAAGCTACCTAATTTAGCTTGAACTTTTGGCAAGGGACATACATATTCTGAATCAGCTCTGAATGCTGATTCCAAATGCTACTCTTAGCTGCCATCCATTCCGAAGCGAGTTATGGGCTTTTTCCTGAGCAAAATTGGCATGCTCACTCACGGGCATCACGTCATCATCATTTAAGTGCTGATACACCTGCGTTAAGGTTTTTTCATTAAGAAAAGATTGGATTTATACTGCAGGTTTTTATCTACATGCAATCTTCTCATGTTCAGTAGCATGCCAACTTCGCGTAGGAAAAAGCCCATAACCTTCGAAATGGTGCGTGGCAGTTAGGTTCAGCATATTCGGAATCAGCTTTTGAAGCTGATTCAGAATATATATGCCGTTTACCAAAAGGCCGAGCTGAGTTAGATAGCTTTCCTTATTAGATGCTAACGGTCCGATTTCACTTGGAGTGCGGGCAGCAACACAGAAGTTTCCATGTCCCTGTTTTATGTAGACACTAGCCGGCTTACCCGGCTCCGCCATATGTTCCGAAAATTCCATTTCTTAACCGATCCGGACCAAACTTGGGGGTGATCAGCATGCTCGATCACACCCCTCTGCCAAATTCCAGCCCCCTAGCTCAAATTTTGCAAAAAATCGATAAAATCGACATCGATCGATAACGAAAAGTGGACTGTGACACCCGCCGGGGCCCGATGTGTATGTGTGCCAAGTTTGGTCCGGATCGGTTCAGAAATGGAATATTATATTCGGAACATACGTACAGACAGACAGACATACAGACATACAGACAGACAGACAAACAGACATTCAGCTTTATATATAAGATTCACGATCTTCTTACTTGTCTGTATAAACTGAGTCTTTCTTCAATCTAATTGCAAGATTTGCTTTCCTACTTACTTATCGTCGAGTCATTAGGAACCTTATATGCATATTGCACATTTTGTGTGCTAACTGACGAACTGCAAAATTAGAATCTGCTCATTTGCAATGATTTCTCTTGATTTCATGTCCCTTTTGGTTTTGTCAGTTATAAGTCAGGTAGAACATATCTCTACAATTTGATAAGCTAGAAAATATTTCACTGAAAAGTTAATAGTAAGGATGCCGTGGCTAATTCGAGCATAGTGTGCATTCTCACATATATTAACACATTGACGACCAAGGCGTTTCACGGATCGGTCAACATTTCTAGATAAAATCACGCGCAATTTCATCTGCATTATACCTAAAGTAACTCTGAAATGCTGGCAAACCAGTAAAGGTTGTGCCGATATCCAGCACAAAAAAACTTCCGGAGTGGGTTTAATGCAAAATAGTAGCCATTTCAACGATACGCATGGTGTGTCAAGCCTTGACACACCATGTGTGTCAAGCGGTCGTCAATGTGTTAAAGGCGGCGTCCGGGCAAAATTTCGCCTCTCATGTTTCTGCCATTTTGGGGCCTTTCCGTGGCCCTGATTACAGTTGTAAAGTTCAAATTGTTCAAAACCCTCAAAAAACCCGATTCTTGGGGACCCTCTCTTTTCAAGGAGCGGACGAGTTTCGCATTGCTCGTTCCCACCGCATGCCAGCTTGAGGAGCTGCACTGCACGGATGCAGTTGCATTGCAGTGTGCAGTGCAACTGCAATGCAACTGCACACCTGTGTGAGCACTCGTCCTTAAGGGTGGTTTGTGATACGAAGGGGCGGTTTGTGATACGTATCACAGACCCTTTTCTCCTACGTATCTCCTTTTAGAGGCCACGTCAAAGGATCGGACCAACGCAGATCGTCATGGGCATCTTTACAACTATGTGCTAGTCTGGGTGGATGGGTCTTGCCTGGAAGCTGCCTTCAAGCTACAAATGTCTCAAGGATAGTTCTTTCAGCATCTTCTCCGCTTTGGTGGTAGTGCTTGAAAGGAGAACGATGTCGTGCGCAAATGAAGGTTTAGGAATATTCTCCCATTAACTTTCGCCCCATATAGTGACTTCATCATTCACTGCAAGGCCGCATAAATGGCTTCTGTGAAATTGTTTCACTTTGTCGGACTCTCTTGCAGAGATGGTCAGAGGGGAAACAGCGTTTTCGTTGTACACTGTTTTTGGCAGTTGGCTATTGTCCTCAAGTAAGAGCTGGGTTTATCGTCCTCCGAGCATTCGTCTAAAAATTGCCAACACTCTTCAAAATTTTTGCAAGCGGACCGCAAAAAATCAGGAAATTATATTTCCGGTGCCCGCTTGCCAGAAATCGCATGGCCGCCTGCCCCGGCGATTTTGAGCGGTTTAGAACATAAAATTTTTCCGGAAATACAGACTGGCCTCTGTCCCAACCTTCGTTAAGTAGGAAAAATCCTTTGCCAACGTTGAAATCAGCGCTAGCGTGTCAGAATAGCTAAACAAGGAGCAGACTTTCCGCAAGAATATGCAAAATTATTGAGGGCCGTGCGTTCCTTTGTGGAGGACCGCACAGCCCATAGATACCTTCCGCTAAGAGAAAGTACCCCAAACTCGGGTAATTAGACTATCGATGACACCCCTGCCACATAGAGTCCCATCTTCGTTCGGCGTACGCCCGAAACTGCTCAAAAAAGTCCGAACGCCTGCTGAAAGTTTGGCCCTCGCTAGCTGAAAGAAATTATTTGACGAGTGCTTGCAGAAAATTTTGTATTGTTCCCGCGGGCAGAA